AAATCAAAAAAATCTATATTTATAATAATTTTAAAATGTATAATTTAAACCAATTTATATATTTAAAATTAAATTGTTTTTTTTTTTTTTCAACATTTTTTAATTAAATTTTCATTTATTGATTGAATGATGATTGATATTTGAAAGTTGAGAGAAATTAAAAAAATCATAATTGTAAAACACAAAATAAAATTTTTTTGATTATTTAAAAAGCTACACTTTCCACTATTTTATTTTGAGTGTTTATTTGAATTTTATTATTTTAATAAATTTATAAAAATAATTTTTTTTTTTTTTTTTGTAATCTAATTTAAAAAAAAAAAAATAAAAAAACTACCCACATCAAATAAAATATATAAATACCACACTTATTTTTTTTAATTTAGTTTTCACCCTTTAACCACACAATCACCAACGATCTCAACATAGAGACCTACAATCACCCAATTATATTCAATAGAAAATAATCATAGAGACACACAGGATTTATTTTTAAATGAAAAATTTAAATTCTCAACATTAGAAAAATGATTTTAATAAACACACTAATCACACACTAACTAACTACTTTTAAAAACTAATTTATACATTAAAAATTTTAAATTTCTATATTAAAATTAAAGTATTCCTTTAAAAACAAATTATTCACATAAACTCACACAAAAACCCTAACTTTTTTATATTCTTTCTCATTATTAAAAGGTTTTATTTATAATTTTTTTTAATTTTTTATTTTTTTAAATTTTTATAACTTTTTAAATTTTTTATTTTTTTTATTTTCATGTTTATTAAATTAATACTAACTAAAATCAACATATATTTCTCAAAAATTATATAATTATATGTTGTACAATTTTGTAATATATTTTTTGTAACATTAATATTTATGTGTATTATATAATAATTCTCAAAAAAAAAAAAAAAAAAAAAGAAAAACAATTTATTTTTAAAACAATCACCATTTTATTGTAATATTATTTATTTATCATCAAATATTTGTATATTTATTTATTTATTTATTTATTTATTTAAAATTGTAATATAAAATTGTAATATAAAATGACATTAAGTGTAAGTAATCAAAAAAAAAAAAAAATAAAAAAAATTTCAATAAATTAATTTTTTTTATTTTATTATTTTTTTTAAAATTTTTAGACATTATTATTTATTGGGGAACCAATATTTTTAGTTGATCAACATTTAACATTAATAGAGCCAATTTCAAAGAGAATATATTCCGATAATATTATAAAAAATGCAAATAGAATAGGGCAACTAAATCAGTCAGTTTTAGAGATTGAATTAGAAAATGGAACCAAAATATTAATTAAACCAAATTATCATATACAAATAACCGAATGTTGTACATATAGATTTGGAACATCACATCAATATGGTATATTAACAGGAAAAATCCCATTTGAGGATAATAAAATTCTTCAAGCTAATAATAATAACTCAAAAATAACTTTTGAAATAAAAATATCACCACATATTATGACCAATCTATTAGCAGCAGCCAATAATAGTATGCTCAATAATGATATAAATCAATCAATAATATCCCAACAAAACACCAAAACTGATATCAAAAAAGAAATAAGAATGAATGAAAAGAATAGTGATAAAATATCATCGTCAATTTCAATTATTGATTTAAAGAGTGAACAACTACAACAAACAATGGCCAATAGCAATAGAGAAAACCAAAACCAAAACAATTTATTTGAATATTTTATTAAACCAGGCCAATATGAATTGACCAAATGCAGAAATTCCAACTCTTTTGAAATCGAATCAAAACACAAAAACTATAGCATCGAATACGACTATGTTTCCAATAAGGTTACAATTAAATCAAACAATTCGTTTTTAGGGAATTCATGCCAAATGGATATTGAAGAATTTAATAATACCTACGAAGTTGTAATTTATAATACATATGGAATTCAAACAATCAATCATGACAACTGTGAAGATTTTATAAAAATTAAAAGCAAATCCAACGATAGGGAGAAAATTATAAAGAATATAAATGATTGTAAAGAACTCTTCAAAAAGGAATTAACCATCAATAAAGAAAATATAGAACTATTTGACTCAATAATTTCAGATTTTTGCAAAACCAAAGATATTAGTACCGATATCATCGTAAAGAAGAATCCTTTTCTTATGGAACCACTGTATGAAATTTCAAAACTTTACGAATCTATTAATCTTATAAAAACACCCCAAGAAATTTTACATCAAATGTTATACGAATACCATTATCAAATTCTTTTGGGAAAAAGAGTTCATGACCCGCTAACCCATCTAGCAAGGAAAATGGATATATTTAATTCAACTATTTTACACATTGATTCAATTTTAAAAGAATCAAAAGAAACCATTCTATTATTTGGCAACTATGAAAACTGTAAAAGAAAAGTTATTTCATTTTTAAAAGATAATATTAACCAATCAAACTCTGCCAGTACAACAAGTAGTAGCAGCTTAAATAGCTCAAGTGGAAGTATTTCAAGTGGCAAGTTTCATTATCAACATGGTTTTCATAATAATTTATCTATTCAAGAGAATTTTTCTACACACGGATTTCATATTATAAACTCTCCATTTAAAAAATGGTCAATTTTCAAGTGTCCCACTTTTAATGAAATTAGAAACGATATTAACTCTAGCCAATCCATTGATTATATTGTTGAAAGAGCAAGACAAATCAAATGTTTATTAATCGCAATTCCATTTAAAGACTTTTTCGTTGATAATGGTAACAAAGTAATCGAAACTATTGAATCGTTCAAAGAAAGATTTCCATTCACATTTGACCGTTCAAACCACCCAGAATCCCAACAACAAGTACAATTAATTATCACTGGTATTGAATCTTCAAGTATAGCCGCTTCAAATTTACCAAATACTAGTGTTAAATTGAAATTAGAGCACCGTATTAAACAATTGACCGAACAATTAACCAAAACTAAAGAAATTTTATCAAACAATCCAAACAGTAAATCAAAAGACTATCAATTATGTTCATGTTTAAAAAAAGAAAACTTTTTTTTACAAATATTAGAAATGGAAAAAAACAATCAAATCCATTACTTTGAAGCATCAGTATTTAAGAGAATTCCATTATTAAAATCGATTGACTCAGCCTCACCATTTTCAAGTGTTCAATATAAATCAACAATGAATAACTCTATAATGCAACACAGATTATATCAATCATTAGAAATTTTTGCTTTAACATGGACCAACATCTTAAGCAAATTCTTACATTCAGAACAACTTATATATGAACAAGAGTGTAACAACTACAATATCCATCTTGAGATTGAAAAGGTCAAAAACAAATTACAAAAATCAAATAATGAACTCTTTGAACTTCGTCAAAGAGAGGCTATCCACAAAAAGAATCTCAGAGAACTATTAAGGATCAGGGAGAATGCCAGTAACCAAAATGCTGAAATTAAAAACGACATATGTAAACGTGCACATGACAAATGCAAGGAAAGAGTGTATGCATTAAAAGGGGAATTACAAAATACAAGCAACAATCCATTAGATTGTTCTTTAATTTTTATTCAACATATTGGTAATGGTGCAAACGGTGCAGATTCAATCAAGCAATATATTGAAGGTGAAATTAAAAGAATTGAAAACGACGAATATGAAAAAGAACTAGAGGATTGTATTAAATATGAAACAAAGAAACTAATGAAAAGAAAAACTGAAATAAAGAATGAAGAAATAGTAGTCGAAGATTTATCAAAAAAGCAAATCGATCTAGAAAAACAAATACTTTTAAATTTAGACTCTATCCAACTTATCAAAAATAAAAAGAAGAGTTTAGAATTTGTTTTATTGACCAAAAATGTTAAAAATAGTGTATTGGTTGAAAAAATTATAACCGGACTTTCAAATTTCAATTTAAGCTACACCAATAATTCAAATAACAACTTTAATATTTTTATCAATCAAACCTCTGTAAATAACCAAAATATAGATGACCACAATATAGTAGTTACATTTTTAGAATCTATAGATATCAGTGATACCGATAGTATGTATAGTATTAATTCAAGTATGAACAATCTCAGTTTTTCTGGTTCATCAGTCAGCACAAATAGCAGCAGTGGCCATCATAACTATGCCTCTATTGGCAGCATTAGCAAAGAAAAAAATATATTTAAAACCTATTTACAAACCCATAATCAATATCAATTGGTTGTAAAAGATAAAAAAAACAATAATTAAGTTTTTTTCAAAATATATATATTAATTTATTAAAAAAACCCTTGTAAATAAAAATAGAGAATCTAATTTTTTTTTTTTAATTAAAAAAAAAGATTAATATTTATTGTTGTATTGTATAATAATATTTTTTAATTTGTATTACTATTATAATTATTAAATTTAAATTTGTAATATTCTTTATTATTAATTTTTTTTTTTTTTTAAATTATTTTTTTTAAAAAATTATTTTAATTGATTGAGATACCTGGGTAATTTTGTGATTGAATATAACTAATTGTGTTTTGGAGATACGATAAAGCTGGATCAGCATCTTTAACATGAGTAGTACGAATTAATTCGACTAAATCAGAAATGAATTGAACTGGAACAGCACCAGTATTTTTGTCACAATAGAAAAGACATTCATTGAGGATATCTACAAATACACTAAGACCAGGATTTGTTTCATTTGAGATAATTGAAAGGGCTTTTTTAAGAGCTTGAAGAACAGATTCTGGATTTTGATATTGACGGTCTGGATGATCGACCCAGAATAAGTGTGAACAAGTAGCAATGAGCTTAGCTTGATCTGGTGCCAATAAAAGACGTGAGGCTTGTTTAATAGTTTGAGCGGCTAATGATTCATAAATTTCTTCGTCTGGAATATTTAAAGAGTTAAGAGTTGCAATTAAAAGTTGAAGAGCAGAGACTTGTGATTTGAAATCGGCAATATCTTCTTGGAAAATTAAGAGAGCTTTAATAGCAAGCTCTTTAACTTTACCTACGAGACCACATTGATCAAAAGTTTGGAGAGCTTGAAGGTAAAGTCTGAATGAAAGATCAGCTAATTTAATATCGGCTAAAGCTTTAATGGTTTCGCTGACAAATGTATAAATCTTTCCACCAATGGTATTCCATTTGTTTTGATCTAATGTGATAACACCGGTATCGACTTGTTGTTTAAAGTTACGAATGAAACGAAGTGAACAGAATACTAATGGTACCAAAGTGTGACGGATACGATGTTGGCCACCTGTACCGAAATGACCACGAGCAATAATATAAATCTTGAAGAGTTTTTCTGGATCTTCGCTATCAAAGAGATGAATAAGTGAGGCAACTTTATTTTGTTCTTCTTGGAAATCTTCTTTATCAATATCGTCCATACTTGGTTGGTCTTCTTCATCTTTGATTAAAGTTGAAATGGTTTCTAATAAATTGCTAACAGCTTCTGGTTCTTCGATGATGGTGCTATTTTGGATGGTGGAGTTTACAATATCTAATGATACTTTCTTTCTGTTGTTGTATGAAAGACATGAAATTAATGGTTGATAATTAGTTAAACTTAATACAACTAAAACATTCTTAAAGACATCTAATGGAATTTGTAATAATTGAATAATTTGCTTGACACATGTTGGTTTGTTAATATCTTCTTTTGATTTAGTACTGATAATGGATTGACATAAACCTAAAACTTCATTGGCATTATCTTTATTAGTTGGATAACATTTTAATGTTAAATTTAATAAAGAAACATGTAATCCAAGAATATCTTGTAATTCCATATTTGGTCTTGCCTATTAATAAACAATTGTTAATAATCAATATCATGATAATGATGTTTATTAATTAACTATTTTTATATAATACTTACTTTAATAATTTCTCTAACATTATTAAAGAATATATCGAAAATTTTAATATCTGATGGTACTAATTCAGCATTACGAGTAGCAAAGTTGGCAAGTCTATCAATTAATGAAGCAATAATAGCTTTAACATTAACACCACTTTGAAGTTGAGCACAAGTTTGAAGGATATCATCAAGAGTTGCAAGGTGGAATTCATCTGGGAATACTTGAATTAAAATTTCCATAAGATATTCTTGAGCAATTTTATCTTTACAATTGATGATTTGTTCAACAACCTTTGGTAAAACTACTTCACTATAAGTTTCTTGATTAACACCATCTAATTGTGCTAAACGTGAAAGATTTTTACCAACTAATAAACGAAGTTCAAGACGTTCATTTTCTCTTCTTTCTTTATCTTTGGTTGGTGCTTGATGTTGCATACGTACCCAAAGTTTATTGGTTTCTGTGAAATTTTGAATAATGAAATCAATTGAATCCATAACTGTACCTGCTTCAGCTGGTGAATCGACATCTGGTAATTTATCTTTAGTAACTTCACTTAAGTAATGTCTTAAGAAAAGACCTCTGGTTGGATGTTGAACACCACGACACATTTCAATTAAATCTTTTAATACATCTTTAGCTGGTGCTTGTTTAGTTTTAATATAAACTGATCCAACTGTAATTAATAAATATCTGGTAATATTATTTTATTTTTGTTATTGTTATTATTTTATTTTTATATTAAAATAATTAAAATAATATTAATATTTATTGATTATAGTAATACAAATAATGTTTTAATATTTTTTAAATTACTTACAATCTTGGTAAAACATTACCAGCATGTTGAACAACTTCATAAAGTTCAATCATTCTTTTACCATGCTTTTCTTCGTAGAGATAAGTGTTGAGATATTGAAGATAATCGAATGCAACTAAATATAAAGCATAGTATGATTTTGGTGAAAGTAAACTTGTACGAAGTTCATTAATAATATTTGAGGCATATTTGAGTGCGTCCATTAATTTTGAATTGTCTAATGACAATTTCATATGATGACCTTGAATCATAACATTGTTTTTAGCTTCTTCAAAAAATTTAGCTTGTTCTTCGTCTGGTGATAAAGTTTGAACAACTGTTGTATTTTTTTTTTTCATCATTTTTTGATTTATATATATATAAAATTAATAAATAATAGAATCTTATTTATTAATCAAATAAAAAAAAATAAAATAAAAAAATAATCTATAAAACAAAAGAAAAATAAAAATAAATTATATATATTATTTATAAATAATTATATATATTTTATATTTATATAGACGAACAATAATAATATAAAAAAAAATAAAAAAAAATAAAAAAAATAAAAAAATAAAATTTTTTTTTTTTTTTAAAAAATTAAATAAAAAAAAAAAAAAGAAAAGATTTTTTCAAAAAAAAAAAATTAAAAAAATTAAAAAAAAAAAAAATTATATTTTTCTTTTTATAATTATTTTGATTTTTTTGTGTGTCTTATCATAAAATGATAAAATGATCTAATTTTTTTTTTTAAAAGCATTTAATTTTATTTAATATAAAATTGAATTGTAATAGTATAGATAATAAAATAATGTAATATAAATTGAATTTATATTGAATTATAGTATATATTTAGTAGTGTTATATATTTAGTAGTGTTACAAAATTAATTGATTTAGTTGCAACCACAACCACCACCAGCACCACCTAATAATCCACCAACTAAACCACCAACAACTCCGACAACTCCTCCTACAACAGCAGCGACATCAACATTAACACTAACATCAACTGAGGCAGCAGCAGCGATACCACCATAACCACCTGAACCACCACCACAACCACCACAAGCAACACTATTAGAACCCATAGATAATGATGAACCTCTTGATGCAGAAATACTTGATTTCTTTGAGGATGACATTGGTGATAATGAAGTTAAAGCAGCTAAATATTAAATAATTAAATAAAGGTACAAATTAGAATAGTTTTTTTTATTTTTTATTTATTTTAATATTTACATAAGATTGTCATTTTGTTTATAGTTTATTAAATAATATTTTGTTTTGTGTAATATTTTTAAATTATGTTATTGTATTTATAGTTTTTTAAAAAAAAAAAAAAAAAAAAAAATAAATAAATAAATATAAAAAACAAATAATAAAAATCTTGGAAAGCATGGATTTAAATAATTGTATTTTTTTTTTATGATTAGAGATTTGATAGAAAATGTAAAATAGATTAATCACATGTACAAATATATGTTCTATCATATCAATAAATAACAATATTTTTTATTAAAATAACCATATAAAGAAACTTTTTAATTTATTTTTAAATGTTCTAACTGTTAACAATAGGAAAAACATATTAGTTGTAGAGGGGGAGGTTGGGGGTAGTTTTTAAAAAAAAAAAGGTGGTTGATTATCTTTTATAAAAATAAAATAAAATTATTTATTGTGTGTGCATATTGTTAATTTTTTATCGTTTTAATAATTCGATTAAAAGAAAAATATCGTCTCCTCTTTATGTAAGTTATTAATATTACAATTACAATTACTATTACTATTTATTATAGTAATGATAAAAATATTAATAATAATAATAATAATAATAATAATAATAATAATAATAATAATAATAATAATAATAATAATAATTGTAACTATTTTCAAGAAGGAAAGGTTATTTTTATATATTTAGATACATTTGTTTTATTTAATTAATTAAAAGTTATAAAAATAAAATATATATTTTTTAGAAATGAAAGAATGATAATTATTACAATTTATTTTAATTTTTTAATGTACATTTAATATAAAGATACAAATTATTCAATTAATAACAAAAGTCTAGCATTTAGAAGGGTCAATTGATTTAGTTACAACCACAACCACCAGCACCACCTAATAAACCGCCAACTAAACCGCCAACTAAACCGCCAACAACACCGACAACAGCACCAACATTAACATTAAGGTTTACATTAACATCAACAGAGGCAGCAGCAGCAATACCACCATAACCACCTGAACCTCCACCACAACCGCCACAAGCAACACTATTAGAACCCATTGATAATGATGAACCCTTTGATAAGGCTAATGATTTCTTTGATGATGAAACTGGGGATAATGAAGTTAAAGCAGCTAAATAATAAAAATGTTAATAAAATAAATAAAAAATATATTTTTTTTCATTAATAAAAGAAATATTAAATATTTACATAAGATTGTCATTTTTAATATATTAGTTTTTATAATTTGTTAATTTGATGATAATAAAAAAAATAAAATAAAGTATTTATAGTTTTTTTAAAAAAAAAAAATAAAAAATATTATAATTAATTTAAATTTAAATTTTAACTTGTACTTTTCTATTTTTATTAATTTCTATATTTGATTAAGCTGTTAGATTATAGAGTTTAATTAATTGTATATTCATACTGTTATTTAAATTTAAAATATTTAAAATTTCAACCAGATAGTCAGTTGTGTAGTTAATTTTTAAAAGGTGATTTACAAATTGATTTAAAAAAAAAAAAAGTTTTTTTCAAATGAATATATTTTTAATTCATTATTTTTATTTTCATCTATCTTGAGAAATCAATATCTTGATAGATTATAATTAAATTATTTGAATATTCAGAAAAGCTGGGGTGAGTAGAGTGAATTTAGAAAAAATCTTTGAATTCCTTTTTAATTTATATAACTGATTTAGGAAATGAAAAATAATATTTAAATTATTTTTAATATATGAAATCACCCTTTCAAAATTACAAAAAATTGAAAATAACATGCACACACACATAATCATTCTAAAATTTGTATAGTTAAAAATATATTTTTAATTTTTATCAAGCTGTTTATATATAATAGATAAAACAAATATTGGTGGGTTATAAAAAATAAAGAATAAAAAAAAAGATTTAAATATATACATACATAAAATAACAATTTTTGTTTATGTGCTATTTATAACTGCCTAAAATGATATCATATTCTTAGTATAATACTATTGTAGTTTAAAAAAATGAAAAAGTTTTTAGTGTGTAAGAGTTTTACTAATAAAAAGTTATTTAAATGTGAGTGTTGGGGTGTGTGGGTTAAATCAATTTTTTAATATATATATACCAATATCACACATGTTTTTTTTTAAAATTTTTTAATTAGCACTATACCACAACTCGTTCACAAAATAAAAATTCATTAACTTTAAATCATTACACAAAAAAAAAGCTTATTCAACTAATATTTATCATTTGTGGGGTTTTGTTAAGTGTTGCTTGTGGCGGTTGTGGTGGGAGGCTTCAGGTGGTTATGGTGGTATTGCTTGAGCCGCCTCTGTTGATGTCAATGTAAACCTTAATGTTAATGTTGGTGCTGTTGTAGGAGGAGTTGTCGGAGTTGTTGGTGGCTTAGTTGGCGGTTTATTAGGTGGTGCTGGTGGTTGTGGTTGCAATTAAATTACTATAGTTTTTATTATAAATAAAATTGTAAAATTACTTTTAAAAACATCATATTTAAATTTATTCATTAATTATTTTGGAAATATAAAATTAAAATTATATTTCTTTTTTAATCTCTTATTTCAAAATTTTTTATTTGCTTTTTTAAAACCCAAAAAAATATGAATTTAATCAATATTTTTTCAACACATTTAAATTAAGAGATGGGATAGTTTTCAAAAATTTAGATACCAAAGATTTTTTTTTTTTTTTTTAAAAATATTGTTAACAATTACATTTTAATCACACCATTTAATCAAAAACTACAATAGATAAGATAATCATATGTGGGGTTTAACATATTAATATTTTTAACTTTAAAAATTGTTTTTTCCCCCATTTTATATAACTTTAAAAATTGTTTTTTTTTTTTTAATTTAAAAAAAAAAGTATAAATAAAACAATTTTTTTTTTTTTAAATTCATTAAACATAATTATTTATTTCTTAATAAACATTTAAAATTTTCAAAAATGACTCTCTTATGTAATTATTTGGTTTAAATAATTATTTTTTTTAAAATATTGTATCTAATTTTATTCTTTATAATATTTAGCTGCTTTAACTTCATTATCACCAATGTCATCCTCAAAGAAATCAAGTATTTCTGCATCAAGAGGTTCATCATTATCAATGGGTTCTAATAGTGTTGCTTGTGGTGGTTGTGGTGGTGGTTCAGGTGGTTATGGTGGTATCGCTGCTGCTGCCTCAGTTGATGTTAGTGTTAATGTTGATGTCACTGCTGTTGTAGGAGGAGTTGTCGGAGTTGTTGGTGGCTTAGTTGGTGGACTATTAGGTGGCGCTGGTGGTTGTGGCTGCAACTAAAAATAGATATTTAAACATTAATATAACATTACTATATGTATAATACTTAAAAAATAAAACATTCTTAAAAACAAAATTACCCTAAAAATAGATCCTTTTATTTTGATTGCTGAGCATTGTAAAATTTAAAATGTTATTTTTTAGAAAAAATTAAATATTTGTATAAAATGGTATATTTAATTTGAAGGATGGATACCTGAAAATATAAAATAATTATTTAAATTTGCCGAATTATCAATGTAAAACTACAAAAAAAACTTTTTAACTTAATTTATACTAGATAGTTAGTATTATTTTTTTTAACCTTAAAAAGATAAAAAACTTTTTGTTTTTGCTCAATTTAACTACCCTAAACTAAATCATATATACTGCATTGTTATTTTTATATTGAATTAGTTTATTAATTTTTTGAATTCGTGCATTGGGGTGTGTGTTAAAAAAAAAAAAAATAGTGTTAATTTTTCCCCCACATTACCCCCAAATATCAAATATAAAAAAAATATTGCTAAGTTTATATATAAAGTAGGAGTTATTAAATACAATAATTTTATGTTTAACCTAAAGCTTTTAACAAAAAAACTAATAGATAAATAAATTTGTGAATACTCGTTAATAAAAATATAGTTTAATTTAATTTAAATTAAAATAATTTAAATATAAATATTTTTTTAAAAAAAAGTATAAATATTGAAATAAAATTATTTTTTTTTCATCAAAACATTAAAAAACAAAAACTAAAATCCTAAAATCCTAAAATTCTAAAATCCTAAAATGACAATCTTATGTAAATATTTAATTTTAATATTAATAAATTTAAAAGTTTAGTTATTAATTTTAATATTTTTTAGCTGCTTTAACTTCATTATCACCAATGTCATCCTCAAAGAAATCAAGTATTTCTGCATCAAGAGGTTCATCATTATCAATGGGTTCTAATAGTGTTGCTTGTGGCGGTTGTGGTGGAGGTTCAGGTGGTTATGGTGGTATTGCTGCTTCTGCCTCAGTTGATGTTAGTGTCAATGTAAATGTTGGTGCTGTTGTAGGAGGAGTTGTCGGAGTTGTTGGTGGCTTAGTTGGTGGATTATTAGGTGGTGCTGGTGGTGGTGCTGGTGGTTGTGGTTGCAACTAAATCCAATTATAATTAATTTATAAAACTACATATGTAAAAATACTAAAAAAATATAAAAATAATAAAGTTTTCTTTGTTAAACATCTAAATTATAGTTGTTTTTTTTTTTTTTATTTAAATTATTTTAATTTTTTAATAAAAAAAAATATTTTTTTTATTATATTAATAATTATATTTATAAATGAAAATTATATTGATTAGATGGTACCATTTAAGAACATCTTAACCATTTCGAGAGTGGTAGCTGGTTGATCATGTGGTGCCATATGACCTGCACCATTGATGGAGAAGAAAGCAAGGTTGTCGAATGATTGATAATAACCTGAAATTTGTTGATCAATGTATACGATATGTCTTGGAGCATTGTTATATTGACTGCTGTATGTCCAATCTAATTGACCCATCCATTGTTCACTACCAATAAAGTTACAAATCCATCCATTGATACCTGAATAAACTAAAACCTTATAGTTTTCTAAAAGAGTTGGGATATAACCAATTGGTGAGTTGAACCAATCGTGAATAATTTCGTTATATGGAGTGGTATTGCAAAGGTTCCATTCAGAGCTTGATGAAACACCTAATTGTTGTTTAACTGAAGCTTGATTTAAAAAGTTTGAAACTGGGGTAAAATCGTAACAGAGTGGTTCTGATGGTGGACAAGTTTTAGTAACATCATATGGATTGAAATCACCGGCATATTCTTGAATAACAGACATAATTTGGTTGCAAATAGTTGAGGTCATATTGTAATCACCACTTTTGATGGCAGCTTTACATGATTCATATAAACCTTGAGTTTCGATATATTGTTCATAATCGATTAAAGAATGGGTATAAGCATAGAGACCAAGTGAACCATATTGGGACGTATGGGTCGACCATAGCATTACCAACGGCTAAACCTTTAAGATTGATTTTGCATAGTATCGGATGCTTGATTTTGGTTTCATAGATATAGTGGCTGAATGATGGAACATAGTGACCCTGCATATGATTCACCCGAAAATGTATAAATCATTCTTTTGATAAATTGGGGTATTTGGTTAAGAATTGAGTGAGGAATGAATAAAGATTTTGTGAAACTTCTAATTCGGTGTGACTGTAACCCATCTGGATTACCAACATATGAAAAACCAGTTCCTACTGGTGAATCGATATAGAGAACATTAGCAACTGTGTTCCAACTATATGGATTTGAATATAAAGTTAAATTTGGATTGACAAAGTATGGACCATTTTCGAAAAAGGCTGCTAATTCTGATGAACAACCTGGACCCCCTGAAAGGAAAATTAAAAGATTGTTACTTTGGGTTTGAGCTGGGTAAAACAAGAAAAATAAATTTGCATCGGTGGTTTCATTGGTAAGGAAAAAACCACTTTCAAAATTATTTGGGATTTGGCCAAATGAAACTGATAATATTAAAAATAATGAAATTAAAGTTCCTAAAAATTTCATTTTTTTTTTTTTTTAATTTATTTTATTAAATAACTTTTTTTTTAAAATAAATATAAAGTTAATATTGATCTTTATTTATTTGTTAATTTATTATTTATATACTCTACATTTATTTAAATTAATGAAATTTAAAAAAAAAAAAAAATAAATAAAAAAATAAAAAAAACGAAAAAAAAAAAAAAAAAAAAAAATTTTTATTTTTTTAATTTTTCAAATTAATTTTTTATTTTTTTTTTATGAAAATAAAAATCTTTGGACTATTCTGTATTCCACAGACCCCCTAAATGAAATTTATTTTTAAAATTCAATTCAGAAAAAAATAAATTTAAAAAGAAATTTAAAAAGAAATTTAAAAATATAAAAATATAATGAAATTTAAAAATTTCTTTGAATTTTTTAAATAATTATTATTATTATAATAATAATATTAATATATTTATTAAATAATTAATTGTAATGATACATAATGTAGCAAATGAATTAATTAAATTCAAAATTAATTGAATAAATTGATTTAGTTGCAACCACAACCACCAGCGCCACCACCAGCACCACCTAATAATCCACCAACTAAACCACCAACAACTCCGACAACTCCTCCAACAACAGCAGTGACATCAACATTAACACTAACATCAACTGAGGCAGCAGCAGAAATACCACCTGAACCACCACCACAACCACCACAAGCAACACTATTAGAACCCATAGATAATGAGGAACCTCTTGATGCAGAAATACTTGATTTCTTTGAGGATGACATTGGTGATAATGAAGTTAAAGCAGCTAAATATTATAAAGAATAAAAACCTTGTTAATAAAAGTTTATATTTTTAAATTTAGTTTTTTTATAAAATATAATATTTACATAAGATTGTCATTTTTAGGTTTATAGTTTTATTGTTTGGTTTTAAATAAATAATTAAATAATAATGATTAATCAATTTTTTTTTTCTCTTTTATATACTTTTTTATTTATATGTCAATTATAAACCTTCTTTTTATTTTTTAAATATATCTTAAACTTTGAAATCAGTTATAATATATATTTTTGTATAATAAAAATAAAGATAAAAATAAAAATGTTCAACCACACTATTTTTTTATTATTAACAACAATATCACCCTAAAAAAATAAAAAAATAACCACACCCACCAAAAAATCACAATATTTTAAAATATTTTCTAGATAAATTTATATAGGATTATCTAATAACTTTAAATTTTAGTATTAGATCCTAAATATATAATTTAGAAAAAAAATTCAATATTTGATTTGTAAACAATGGGATTGTATTTAATATAAATTATGTGAAAAAAATTTAAAAAAAAAAAAGACGAGACACATTTCTTTATTTTATTTGAAATAAAAAAGAAAATAAATTGACACAAATTCTGAAATGTCTATATTTGAAAATTTAAGGGTGTCAAGGGGTGTTTTAAAAAAAATAAAGAAATAAAAATTTATGCATCATTTTTTTATATATAAAAAAAAAAAAATTTAATTTTTAATTTTTTTTTTTTCGAGACAAAAAAAATGATAAAATATAAAGAAAAAAAAAAAGTGTGTATTCCGAGGTGTGCTGGTTAATTGAATAAAAAATCATTTTCTTTTTTTTTTAAAAGAAAGAATGACATATCAAAAAATATAATTTTAAAAGATTTTTTTTAAATTATTTCAAAATAAAAATGGTTGATAATAATAAAAGTGAAAAAAATTTTGAAATATTATTTTTTAAAGTTTATCGAAATAAATATTTAAATCATAAAATATATACACATCTATCACTATTTAGAAGGTATAGAAAAATTGAATTAAATTCAGATCCAATAGAAATTTTAAAGTATAGAGAATATTTTAGTTATATACAAGAAATAAAATATAATGGATCTTTGGAGTTACCGTTAAGCAGGTTCTCATTTCCAATATTAAAAACAATTGAAATTGGGCGATTTTCAAAAACACCACCACCAGAAAATAAATCATATTTTACGTCAATAGATCCAACATCAGTACCAAATAGTGTTGATACAATCATATTTCCACGTGATGAAGATATCAACTATACTTGTTTAAGAAATTTTCCAGATTCTATTAAAACATTTAAAAATGTTATGTTTTCAAAAATAATTGATTATATTCCTTCAGGTGTTACAAGTTTAACATTTAATTCAATGAATAATTATATGTGTATCAAAAATGGTTTTCTCCCACCAACATTAACTTTTCTAGACCTTGGATTAGCTTGTACATTTTTAGGTGCCTTTCCACAATCTTTGAAAACTTTGAAAATAAACAGAAAGATAAGCGGTGCCATTCAATCAAATTTATCCTTATCATCATTAACAGATTTAACAATGTCACATGTACCAGAATTAATCGAACTATATCCAAAAACTTTAAAGAAATTATCAATTATTAGTAAAGATCATATTGATTTGAATTTAAACTCACTGAATGGTTTGAATAGTTTGGAAACATTAGAACTAGATATAGATTCACTTTTAATAGAAGTAAATTCAATTCCACAATCAATAACAATATTAGATATCAAAACAGCTTCAATTCATAATTTGTATAGAGATATGTTACCAATATCTTTAAAATCACTAAAAATTAATGTTTGTTTATACTCATTTAGAATTATATCATTACCAGTTGGGTTGCTGGAATTAAATTGTATATCAAGTGGTTTAAAAGATCTAGATGTTGGTTTACTGCCAGAGAGTCTAACTACTCTATGTTTGGCTAAAGAAAAAAATATAGGATTCAATAAACCTATCAAAGATGGTTACCTACCAAATTCTATAAAGTCGTTAGATTTTGGAGAATTCAATCAACAAATTAATTATCTACCTCATTCATTAGTGAATTTGAATTTTGGTAAGTTTTTTAATAAACAAATCATCCCAAATTCATTACCATCCAATGTAGAAAAAATTGTGTTCTCTTCAAATTTTAATCAAAAATTATTGTTAAATTCACTTCCTTTGAAACTGGTCCACTTGGAGTTTGGTAATAATTTTAATAATCAGGTACCTGTTGGTGTTTTACCGCAATCTTTAAAAACTTTGATTTTTGGAAATAGATTCAATCAACTATTTTTACCTGGATCCCTACCTTCTTCAATTTCAAAATTAATTATTGGAAACAAAGGGCCTAATACAATTAGTTGTTTTAATAGTCCCATCAATGAAAATGTATTGCCACAAACATTAACACATTTAGAAATAAATTGTCCTCGTTATTCTCACCCAATTAATGAATCATTTTTACCAAGATCATTAAGAATTTTTATAGTTTCAGATAATATTAGTTTTAATGAATAACATATTTTTTTTTATTTATTAAAAAAATTCAAATTTAAATATAACCAAGGTAAAAAAGTAAAATTAAATATAATATTACAAATTCCTTATAAAGAAGTTATTATTTGTATAAATCTCAACTAGAAATCAGTTATCATTATAATAAATATCACCAATTTAAAAATAGTTTTTTATTTTAATTTTTTTTTTTTTTTTTTTAAAAAAAACTAATATTATATTATATATATTTAATGGTATCATGCACCATTTTTTATTAATTTTTATATATTCACCAATATTAAATAAATATCTAATTGTACATATTGAAAATTGTAAAAGAAAAAATGGGGGAGGGTGTGTTTTTTATTTTGTGTTGTGTGAGTAGTGTCTATAAATAAAATTGTGTTTGATTTATTTTTATATGAACATATTAAAAATAAATTATAACAATAAAGTTCTATGCATGCATGTGGTAATACAACAATAGTATTCTATTTTTAAATTTTTTTATTTTTATTAACAATATAGAATTTATATTTATTAAATAAATTAAATTAATTTAAAAATATTTTATGAAATCAGTTGAAAATTAAAAAATAAAAGTTTTCTTTTAAATAAAAAAAATAATAAACTATTAATATTTAATACTAATGATTATCATTTCTAAAATTAGAAAATTAAAATTCATTTAACCCACATATGCGTGTGTTTTATTGTTATAATTTAAAAAATTTAAAAAAATAAGTTTTATTATTATAATATTTTATATTTTTTTATTTATTTTGAAGTTCTTTTTAAATATGTTTTATTTAAAAGATATTTAGAATAAAATTAATATTTTTAATATTGATATTAGTTTTTTATTAATTAATTTACTATTAAACTTAAATAAAAAGTTTAAAAATTAATGAAAAATAATAGATTAATCTTTTGTTTATCTAATATTATTGGATTATATTAATTTATAAATAAATATATAAAACCAATGAATTGTGCAGAAAATTATTCTTATTTTTTTTATATTATATTATAATACATAAAATAAAACTCATTTTCATTTAAAAATGAATTACTTGTAATGTAAATAAAAAAAAAATTTCATTTAAATAATTGTACACTGATTGAAATATTTTTTGCAATGTATTAATATATAATAAGTATACCCATTATTATAGTAATATGTATAATTAATTTAATTAAAACAAAAAAAAAAATTACTTTTTGAAAAAAAAAAAAAAAAAAACTATTTAAAAAATTCTTTTTTTTTTAAATTATATTAAATTTTTAAAATCAAAAAAAACAAATATTTTATTAAAGAATTCAAATAAAAAAGACTCATAAAAAATGAACATTAAATATATTTTAGTTATTTTAATTGTTTTATTTTCAACCACATTTGCCCAATTAAAAAGTAAACCAGAACACATTTTACCAAATCGTTATGTATCAATAAATGAAACTGAAATTTTCAATTTTGTATTCGCTGTAAATTACATGGATCTATACAATATTATCAATGAAAGAAACCCAGTTGGTATTTGTAATGATATTATCATCGAAAGTCATAGATTAGACTCAAATGGCATGGTATTCTATAGTTTAATGGCACAATTTAACAAACACACCAATAACCAAGGAAATATAGCTAGTTTTATTATTACTGAAAAATCAATCAAATCTGTTATTGTAAATTTAAAACAATACGAAATGGTTTTACACTCAATAATTGAAGTATTACAACTCAGTCAACAAACTGGTTTAACATTTATCGAAATTTAAAAAAAAAACTATTTTTTATTTAATATTTATTTATTTATTTATTTTTTTATTAATTTATTTATTTAATAAAATTCTTTTTTTTATTTAAAATTAATTTTTTTTTTAAACCTATATATGGAAATTATAATTTGATCAATGACACTTTTTAAGTTCAGACCCCCATTAGTTTTTTAATTTTTTTTTAAATTTTTTTTATTTTTTATTTTAATTTTTTTTAAATTTTTGTTACCCCTAATGACACATAATTTAATTATTTTTTTATATTTTTTAAATTTATAATTTATTTTTTTTCATTATTATTGATATTTTTTTTTTAATAATCATTAATAAAATTTTAATAATAACTTTAATAATTATAATAAATTTTTTTTTTTAAATAATAATATAACTACAATAAATATATAATAGGAAAAATGAATCAAAAAATAGTAGGTTTAATTTCAAAATTTATTACCTATTTATTAACTTCATTATTTTTTTCAATAGTTTCATATATAGTAGTTTCAATTTTTAAATTTATTTTTAATATGGTTTATTATTCAATTTATGTAATTATGGTTGCAATATTTTTATTTTCAATTCTCATAATGGGTTTTTATATAGAAAACCTCATTAGAATATTTTTAATAATTGGAAAAGATGTAGCTTTCATTATTTTAAATTCAATTCAACAATAGTTAAAATAAAAATAACAATAACAATAAAAATAGAAAAAAAAATAGAAAAAAAAATAAAATCATTAATCAAGAGGTCCATAAAGAATATGATACAGATGAAGATTATTTCTATGATACAAACGAAATTACTTATGATCAAGATCAAGATTTCACAGAAAATTTAATGAAGTTTAAGAGAGATACCGGAAAGATAAATTACGATACCGATAAAGGCTATGAATCAAAACATGGTTTAATCTACTTTCATGGTGGTACATAAACTAAACGAAAAAAAATAAAAATAAAAATAAAAAAAGTTATTGTTATTTATTTTAATTAAATATTTTAAAAGGGGTAAAAGATTTTTTTTTTTTTTTAATTTTATTATTTTTTTCATTTTATTATTTTTTTCATTGTGCTATCACAAAAAAAATAAAATTAAAAAAAAAAAAAATTTAAAAAAATTAATAAAAAATTTCAATTTTTTTTTTTTCCCATTATTATTTTTTAAATTATTATACTAATAATTAAATCATTCTTTATTGATGGATAATACTACCTATACATCGAATGAATGGTATAGTATAATTCAAAATTGGAGAAATCAGAAATTTTATGCTCCAATACCATTAAACCAAACTTCATCTCAACAATCAAGTAATTTATCAATATTTTCACCATTAGTAAGTGGTGCATTGCAAATTTTAACAGATGACTCAAAGTCTAGTGGTTTATTAAAGGATGATGGTAATACAGATTCAGCTATAGGAAATACCACAGGCGAGAATGATGAACACCAAGATCAAAATCTCGATCCACAATCAACATCATCAACACCAATATCTTTATCATCCTCACTACCAGCTCAACAATCAGCACAATTATCACCTTCCTCAACACAACAAACTGGTTCACAACAATCCACATCATCAGATACATCATCAGCAAGCTTTATAATTATAGAAAATTTATTAAAATCTTTAAAAAATGAAAAAGATGATATACTTCGAATTAATTTATTATTGTTTCTTCAAGAGAACTCTAGTATCCTTTTAGAAGATGACTCGAAAAGATTAGACAGAGTAATAAGCATTCTTCAATCACTAATAACATCTCAAACCGAAACCTATCCAGTTAAATCTCAAGTATTAACAACCATTACAACCATTTTTATTTGTGAAAGTATCATCAAAACAAATCCAAAATTAATTGAGACTTTTATAGAGATTTTAATGGATATAATCAAAAAAATAAATAATAGTCCTGATAGACTATTAAGAGGTTCAGTAAGTATTTTTAATATTAATAATAAAATAATTTATATTTATTAATACTTCTATATTATTTCTAGGCATGTAATTGTTTATTGGAATTTGAATTAACCTATCCATGTTTACTATCGGAATATAAAAAAACAATTACAGATTATTGTCAACAAGAGAATACCCATTTAATTCAAAACTATACAGTTTTATTATCAACTATACTACAAAATGTTACACTAAGTACATATGAAGAAGCATCATCACATCAACAAAATGCAAATACCATAATAAACTCTACAAATAATAGCAATATTACAAATCAAAGCACACCACTTAATACAATCGTATCACCAAATACAAATACCATTAGTATTCCAGTTTCACCAGTCTCAACACTACAAATCAATCAATTAAATCAACAACTAACGCAATTGCAAATGCAACAACAACAACAACAACAACAACAATTATCATCATCATCAAATAAATCATATATGGCATCTCCACAATTATCTTATTCGTCATCAAATAGTTTAGCATCGGCAGGTAATAGTTCTCAAAACTCATTAAATTACTCCAGTAGTAGGAGATCCCAAATGTTTCCGTTACCACTACCAAATAGTGTATTCACAGATACAGATCCTAATCTTCGTGGGACTTCATTTGCCATCCCACCTAATGTAAAATACTCGCCAATCTCTTTAGAAAAAATAAATAACGAAATGATCATTAGGCATTTGTCAAATGTTAGATTACCAGATTCATTTGAAAAAGATGTATTTACCTGTGCCTCTATAATTGCAGATCAATCAGCATATCTAAATCAATGGGGTTTACTTACAAGTGTTCAACAGTTGGTCCCTCTTATTGATATTGTTAATATTCCACACAACTTTTTTAAGAACCATTTACATTTGCTCTACAAATTATTTTTCACCAACAATACAGTACAATTTCATATGATCCTCTATTTGACATTAACTTTTCAGGACCTATACAGTCAAGCTGAATTAGACTACTGCTTAAAACGTATCATTGGCATTATCAACGACAGCTCGATATCATTAGAGAACAGGGTTTTAACAATTGATTGGTTTTTATCTTTGCCACAAAAACTAAACAAATCAATTCTAATCAACCAAAACCCATCACAACCATCTCATCAACCACCATCACACCTATTACCAATTTCAATATTCCAGTTCTATCCAAACTTTTATCCAAGCTCATTCGATAGTATTCAGTTAAAAGAATCAAAGCTCTATACATTATGTAAATGTTTAATTGCATCCCCAACCAATTTAAATATACAACCAGAGTAAGTTATAGTATTAATAATTATTTATACTTCATAAAGATATAATACTAATATTAATTTGTTAATTAGGGAATTATTAAAATCCTTAATCTGTTTAGACGAATTTAAACACAATAGCGAAGCAGCTTTGTCAACAAGAATAGTTTTTAGTTGTTTATTAATGTTTTTAACAAACTTTTCAAATTTAATGTTTGGATGTGTTGAAATTTTCCTATCAGAGACTCTTATCAACTATCCACAATTTTTAAATGTTATCATTGGTTTGTTGAATGGTGTGAATAATAACAAGATAAAAATTAATTTATTTTTATCACTTTCAAAAACAATTGTATTATTAAAACCATTAAGATTTTTACAATATTTACCATTAGTCGAAAGAATCATTGTCGAAGATCAAATTGATCCAACTGTAAGAAATCATTTTTTAATTTTTAATTTTACTCATAATACTAACATTATATTTTAAATATATAGGGATTATTAGAAAAAACATTTGATTTGGTTAGAAGAAAGAAAATATGTACAAGTGGTAATTGGTTTATAGGTAATATTATACTTTCAATTTGCAGAAGAGCAATAATGTTCCATCATACAACTATTGTAGCTAAACCTTTGAAATTAATATTATCAAACCTTTCATCATATTTTTCAAATCTTGAAATCAGAGATAGAGCCTCATTTTACCAACGTTTAATTTCACATTTACCAGATGATAAAATTAAAATTATACTAAATACCCAACAAAATGATGAAGCAAATGGTAAGTAATTAATTATAAAATCTTCCAAATTTTTTTTAATATTAATTTTTTATTATTTTTTAGTTAGTGGATTATTATCAGCACCTTTATCATCAGATAAAAATAAATTAATTAAATCTGTTCCAAATTTTATATCAATATCACAAATTAATAATAGAGAAATTTCAAACTCAATTCAACCATTATCAATTTTCGAACCAGTTTTATCAAGCAACAATACAGCTACAGAAGAAAACAAAGATTCATTTGATGATGATTTTAATAATTATTTATCATTAATTAGAGACCATAATAAAATCGAAGCTAAAATTATTATTCCATATCAAATTCGTTATAAGAAACATATTAGTGGTTCAAGTGGCAACAGCGGCAGTAGTGGTAATAGTGGTGCAAATGGTAGCTCTGGCAGTAACACCAATAATAATCAAACGACAATTAATAACTTTAATAGCAATGGTATACCATTAAAAGTATATGCATTATTAATTCAACTTCAACAATCACCATATTATTCACCAATACACCCAATTAGAATTCCATATTTATGTTATCCTTCATTAAATGATTTTGATAATAATAGTAATAGTAATAATAATAACAATAATAATAGTAATAATGGTGATTCAGATGAAAATAACAATAATGAAAATAATAATGAAAGCAAATTTAAAGAATTTCCATATTGTTATGACATAGATTTATCATTTAAACCAATCTATCCAATTCCAACAAGCTTTTCAATCAAAATGATATTCAATGATGATGAAGGTAAAACATGTAAATCAGATGGATCAATTATTTCAATCCAACTATCAAGTTTATTTATGAAAACCCCAATTCCCTCACACATTATCGATTCTGAAGATATCATCTCCAAATTCAGGTTAAATTTATTCAATAAATTTTGGTCGTTATCACAACCATCAATCATAGCTCCCACCAACAATTATCAAATTCAAATTACAAACTCTGTTAAACAAATTAACATCCCTAATAAACAAATTAAAGAAATTTTAAATTCAGAATTATCAAACTATATAGTTATTGATGAAGAAAAAGAAAATAATGATAATAATAATGACGAAAAAGAAATTATTAAAGTTTTAATATTTTTACCACCACAATTCCATTTATTACTTCAATTTGAAATTGGTAAGGATTCAACAATCATTTATATTAAAACTGATTACTGGAGATGTTTAGTATATTTAGATCAATATTTATCAAATTTATCAACAATTATTAATAAAAATGAATAATTTCCATATAAAAAAGGTAAAAGAATTTTATTTTATTTTTTTTAAATTTTTAAAAAATTTTTTTTTTTTTTTTTTTTTTTTTTAAATTATTTTTTTTTATAAATATTTTTTGCTTTGTTTGATATTTTTTTATTTTTTTTATTTTTTAGTTTATTTATTTTTAAATTTATTTATTTCATTTTATAAATAAATTAAAAAAACTTATATGTATAATATATAAAATAATAATAATAATAATAATAATATTGTAAAATTAATAATATATATATATACAGAGTTATGGATGAAAATAATATAGAAAATAAAAATATAGAAAATAAAAATGTAATAGACGAAGATAATTCAAAAATAGAAAAAAATAATATAGATGATAATAGTATAGAAAGTAATAATAATAATAATGATAGTAATAGTAATGATAATAATGAAGAGGATGAAATAAATAATAATATCATAAATAGCAGTAATTCAATTGAAGATATTTCAAATTATTTATTAAAAATCGATGAATCATCAGGAAGACCACCAAGAAAATATAGCGAACAAGATAGTTCAAATCCTGAATGGTTTGAACACAAGAAACATTTTTTTATACTTTCATCGTCTGGTAAACCAATTTATAGTAGATATGGTGACGAGGTTGCATTAAATACATTCATGGCATCATTAAGTGCCATGAGTTCGTTTGTAGAGTCACAGAATGATACGCTTAGACATTTGGTAGCGGGCAAATATCAATTCGTTTTTCTCTGCAAGTATCCTTTAAATTTAGTTTGTATTTCTAGTACCGGCGAGCCAAATCAAGTGATAAGACAACAATTAGAATACATACATTCTTTAATTATTAGTGTTTTAACTCAATCAAATATGAAGGCTGTTTTTGAAGCAAAATACGATTTACGTGATCTTTTAGGTGGCACAGATAAATATTTAGACCATTTAATTCATCAATTAAATAAAGATTTTTCAATTCTCTTAAATTCTATACAATGTTTACGTTTAAATAATAATGTTCGTAATCAAATAACAAACATTTTATCACAATATAAATGTGATTCGTTACTGTAAGTAAAATATAGGTTTATTCATCTTTTTAATACTGATAAAGCGGTTTATTAATTTTTTTATTTATTTAACAAATAGATTTTCGTTATTAATTTCAGATAACAAGTTAATTAGTCAAGTTAAACATAAAAAAACTACAAGTTTAAAAAGTCAAGATATACATTTACTTATGAATTATGTATCTTCAACTGCATCATTCAAAGAGTCAGAGTCATGGATACCAATTTGCCTACCAAATTATAATGATACATACTTTTTACATTTGTATATTTGTTTCTTGTATCCAGGTGTATGTTTATTATTATTTTCAAACCAACCAGAATCATTTTATCAATTAAGCGATTGTAAGAATCAAATTATTAAAGGTCTTGAACAGGAAAATATAGCAGAGGAATTAAAGAAAGCAGTCAATAATCACGACTACACCACTTCTATAACCGAAATTCCAAATCTTTTACATTTCTTGTATAAAAATAAAACAAACAATTATTCAACTTTCCCAACATTTTCACCACCTTATAGCATTCATAAAAAAGAAAAGAAACGATTATTTAGACTCTACCAGCACATCACAACTCATGTTAACAGTAATATAATCGCAAATAAACCTCATAAATATTATTATCACACAAGCCAAACGGAAACTATTATGGTAGCAACTTCAAATAATCATGAATTATATGCTACATTCTCTCCTTTAGAAACAAAGAAAAGTATTTTCGAATCATTCTCAAATCTCTTATTGTGGATCAAAAATCAAGAAAATTCTTTATTCATACAATAATTTTATTCATAAATATAAAAACAATAAATATTAAATATTAAAATAAAAAAAAAAGAATAATAATAGAAATAAAAAAAAAAATATAAATTATATTTAATTTTAAAAAAAAAGATAGTGTATTTTTTGTGTATAAAACCTTTATTTAGGGTTTTTAATTTCCAGTTATTGTTTATGGACTATTATTTACAAATTGTTTACATAAATTAACGGTTTCCTTAATTGAAACTAAAACATTAATGTTGGCAGAGTCTGGGTTTTTAAATGGGGGAACAATAGTGTTATTAGGGTTTAGGGTGAAGTAGACTTCATTAGAACCACAACTTGAGTACCAAAGTGGTGCATATCCTGGGGAACTTGTTGGATCACTCTTTTTAGTGGCTATTTCGCTAATACTATAATAGGTATTGAAATACATGAATTGATTTTTATTTGCCATTGTTACATTTACATACAAGTCATTATAAATAGTTTCATAATCATCTCTATCTATTCTAAATTGAAAGGTATCTGTTTTTTTAATTGATGTTGAAAAATTTATAGTTTTCCCATCTTTTGAAGTTGCAACCTTTTCCCATTTATATCCAGTTGTACCAACTCTTTTATTTAATGAAAATGAATCACCTGAAGTAATAAATATAAAAAAAATAATTAGTAAATAAAATAGTTTCATTTTTTTTTTCTAATCACAAATAAATAAAATAAAATAAAAAAATAATTTATACTTTTTTTTATTTTTATTTATATCTTTAAATAATATTATTTAAAATAAAAAAAATTTAATTAAATAAAAGATTTAATTATTTGAATAGTTAATTTTGTTTTACAATTGTTTTATCTATTTTTTTAATCCAAATTTTTTTTTTTAGATAATAGATCTTAATTTTTTAAAAATATAATTATTATTTTTATTCACTTTTTTCTACTTAATTAAATCATTATTCTATTCTCTATATTAAATAATATTAATCTATTTATGGACTTTTAAATTCTAATCTTTTAAATTTATTAAAAAATTTTATATATAATATATGATTTACAATAAAATTTCCTTTTTTTTATTTTCTTTTTTCAAAATACTAATTTTCAGATAAAGGAAGGTTTTGAAGGTATTTTATCTTTGGTTTTTTTAAAATATTTAATTTTTTATAGAATTCAAAAGTTTAATAAAACTCTATATCCTCATTAACACTTTATTATAATAATTAATAATAATTAATAAATAAATAATGAAATAGATCAAACCTTATTTTACAAAACTATACATAAATATAACTCATAAGAAATAAATTTTTATACGTATAATTAATAATAATAAAAATATTAAATTTTTTTTTGGAAAATAAAATTTAATTATATCTAATTTATAGATTTATAGATAGAATTAAAATGATAAATATTCATAAAATTTAAAAAATTAAAAATTTTTATAAAAAAAAAATTTATAAAGCTTAGAGAATTTTTTTTATTTATTTATTTTATTTATTAAAAAGAAATGAAAAATATAAGAAATATTATTTTAGTAAGCATAGTCTTAATGGTTATCATTGGTATGGTTTCGTGTGAAACCCAAGCTACTGAAACATTAAAAGAATCTTTAAACGAATGCTTAGATAAATGTAAAAACCGTCATTTGCTTAAAGATCCATGTGTTATCCGTTGCCATACACTTCATCCATTCTCAGACTCCTCAGATAGTAACTCTGCAAATACCATTGTTTCATCAGTAATCGGAATAGTAGCTTCTTTTTCTTTATTATTATTAAATTAAATAAATCTTCATTAAATAAAAAATTAACTCTTTTTTTTATTTATTTTTATAACTATTTCTTGTAATTTTTTATTTTCATTTGAAATTAAATTCTTTTGATTCTTTTCTTATAATATGGTTGCTGATGTAATTGATACCACTATAATTGTTACTAAAGCAAAACATCCAATAACAATTCCAGTATATTTGGACCTGACTATTTCGGGAAGTATAATGAAACATTAAGAGCTTTAAATTATATTCCCACTTCAATTTCACTAATCAATAAAGATACTATTCAAAATAATAAATATATATTAATAGATATAAACTCAAAAAAAAAAAAAATTAAATAAAATTTCTATATGTGTATTATTTATCTTTTATAATTAATATTGTATTCGCATATTTTTTGTTGTTTATGGGTTGTAATTATTTTTGTTTTAAACTTTTGATTTTTTAAATGTCTTGTATATAATAATTTTTACAGAGAAGCAATTTTGTGAACGGTAAATTATACTTCCAATGATAATTATTACTACAATTATGAAAACAGCACCACCTATAGCAATGCCAGCAATTTGACTTTTGGTTAAACGAGACTTTTTACAAATGGAATTTGGTGAGTCAAAGTTTGCAGATGATTGATCTAATATTATAGAAAAGTCAGGATCAATAATTACAGAGCTTTGAAAGTAACCTATATTAATACCAATATAAAGGTTTAATTGATTTTGAGAATTTAAAAAAGTTCCTGTAGAGATGTTGAGATCTTTTTGGTCAATAAATTCATTTGTTATACTTCTTATTGTATCATCCAACAAACATCTTTTTATTAAACGACCATATAATGAATGATCATCGATTTGAATTTTAATAAAGTTTGAATTATCTCCTGACGAAGTATCACCCAACATTTGTGATGAGCATATATTATTAGTGCTTGATGACTGGAGACCTGCAGACATGACTAATTGTAAACTATTTAGTTGATTCTTGAATGGGTATTGACTGATTTTAACTGTATATTTAATAGTAGATGGATACATTTCTAAATTTTGGTTTGCAAATGAAATTTTTGTTTTTTCTGTAAACCATCTTATTATTGCATTAATATGAACAGTTTGATTTGATACCGTAATGTTTGTATAGTATTGATATGTTGTATCATTTATTGATGTAAATAGCCACTTGTTAAATACTCTTTGTTCGACCATTTCACCAAAAACATCCAACTCTCTTAATGATACTAAAGAAACAAATGATTTATAAAGGATTTCATCTGGACCTCTTAATTTAATATTTGTTGTTGGATCAGTTTCATTAGCAGTTGGAGGATCCATAATTATGATTTGAGATAAACATTCATTGCCAATCCATGGTGAAAAACATACACAGCCTTGATTTTCAACACATTTACCATTTGATGGACCTCCGCATACTGGTGAACCTATACAATATTGTGGTTTATTTGTTGGTATTGGTGATAAAGGAGGAGTTTCTGTTGGATCAGGTGTATCCACAATATTAAAAATAGTTGGTTCGATGGTCATAATATTTGATTGCAATGAATTTGTTTTGATATATAATTTATATGGTTTAAAGGTTGCTTTGACATTTAGTAGTTTAATAACAGTTGAATTGGATATTGAAGCTTGAATTACACTTTTGCTGCCATCATCAAAAGTAATATAAGCTGTTGAGGTTGCTCCAAAACCACTGCCAAATAACCAAAGGTCGCCACCCCTTTCCGTTATTCTATAATAAGTTACAAGATTGGGATTATTTTCGTTGAATGTTGTTGAGATATAGTAATCAAAATCTTTGGGTGTCATTTCATATGCTGAAAGTCCACTAAATAAACCAAAATTGTTAATGAAACCATATACTGAGATAAAAATACCGCCTGGGTATCCGAAACCAAATGGTACCTGAATAGTACACGAATAACCTACAACGTTTCCATAAACTGGTTCATCATTTACAGGAAGGTCCATTATAACCTGGGTAATGTTTGACTTACATTCCAAAACTTGATTCATTGTTGTAATAAGATAAACTATTGGGTATTGATCTGTTCTAATACCACATTCAAGATCGTATGCTGTAAATGTAAATGAAATCTCTCTGCTTAAGCCACCTACTTCCAATTGTTTTGTTGAAGCACTAAAAGAAAAAAGATCGGGTGGATTTAAACAATAGATAGGTGTACAGTCAACTGAAATCTTATTAATATTTGAATCATTCAAAAAATATAGAAAAGGATTGATTAGAGATGTATATTCATTTGGTGGTGATATTGAAAAATATGAAATTCTATCGAGTCTATCAAACAATGTGACTTCAGTAATAGTATAAACTTGAGGAATGCATGGGTTTGAAATGATCAATTTAACTTCATAATCACCTGAATATTGATTTCCTCCTGCCTTGACATCATTTACAGTGAATGTATAGTTAAATACAGATGAATCTTCGCTGCCTCTAACTGTTACATACCCGGATTTAAAACCATTGATTGGGTCTTCAATTGTCATTATCCATCCAATAACACCACTTATGTTATTTTCATCAATTTTAGGTGAAGTAATCTTTGTAATTGTTTTAAAAATTGGGCCTTGTAAATCCATTTCTTAATATAATAAAAAAAATAAAAATTAATTAGTAAAACTTACAGATTAATATTTAATAATCTATATGTATATTCATACTTGTATTTTTAATAATTAATTGAGTGTCTAAATAAGAGCTGAAAAGATTGGATCCGATAAAATTTAATACAAAACCATAAAGCCCAGAATTGGTGTTTTCTTCGATATAAAACTCGATTTGGAATAACCTTTTCTTTTCGTTATATGTTGAGTAAAAGACTGGACCCATACTACCCATATTAGTTATAGTATTTTGATTATTTTCTACACCTACGTGGGTCATTCTAAACTGGGTATCTTTTGGAATATTATCATAGTTGAAATAAAAAATATTGTAATGTCTATAATTGGTAATATTGATATTGTTATATAAAAATGATACACTTTTAATTGAATATATATCGACTATAAATTAAAAATTATAATAATGTTAATATAAATATTATTGTATATGATCTTTTAAATATAGAGTACTTACAATCATAAACTAATGGTGATTTTAAAAATTTGACTGGGTTAATTGAAATTGCACTACCATATAGGTAATCTTTTGATTTTAAGTAAATATCAGTAACTTTTATTCTAGCTACTAAAGGTGAATATAATACTTGATCAATAACTTCATAAACTCCATCTTTTGAATCACCTGAGACTCTGTATTCTGGTCCAAATATAACACCATTTGAGGTTTCAATATTTAAAAAACCATTTGGTGATTTAACATGAACTCTTATCAAAAACAAGTCCGATACTATTTTAATATACTCGAGATTATAAACTACTGGTTCAGTATTTAAATCATATTCTAAATAAAAATATAAATATAAAAAAGTTAAAATTAAAAACAAAAATAAAAAAAGATAATTTTTTTTATAATTTAGATACATACCTAGTGTTTGAAAATTTTTTTTTATTTCGACATTTCCCAGACCTGACTTTATTGAAACAAAGTTATTGTTATCTACATTATATTGTGGAATAAAAATGTTTATATAGTATGAATAGCTTTTGTTGGATCCATAGATAAATCCAAATGGAAAAGACTTTTTAATGCTATTAGGACCAATATTAAAATAGAATGGAGCCAGTTCATATTTAGTCGAACTTACAGTATATAAGTTTAAAATTGAATGTCCTAAAAATTCTTGTTGGAAAGCTTCCGGGTCTATGGTTTGTGGACTTTCAAATAAAACTATTTTAAATATATTGGTTAGTAGTGTTTTATTCGAAATATAACTTTTTAAAAATAAACATACACTGAGGAGTATTAACTGAAAACTCTTTTAAAGGTTTGTAACTGCTACCATCTTGAGAATATAGTTTAAATGTAGAATCGGTATCATAACTATTAAAATTATATAGATATGTTGTGCTCTTGTCATCGCCATATATAGGCTTCATGGAGTTACTACGAGGAAAACCATCAACAGTAAATACTTGAAGAGAAATTGATTTATTTGTTGTAAAAGTTAATACTGGACCTTCATTATACCCAAACAATCCAACATTATTATAATCTTCTGGATATGTTTTAATTTCTGTAATATTGACATAATCGTCTGTATATTTATAAAATAAATTAGTTAATATTTTTGTGGAGATAAAAATAGTTTATATAATAATTATTTTCCTACCTTTAATTGCCTTTTCAAGATTGAATGTTTTTGATTTTCCTGAAACAGTGGAAATTATCATCGTATAATCATCATTCACTGGAGGAGCTGTATTTGGGAAATAAATTAAAAAATAATTTCCATAGATATTTTGAATTACAGCGCTCTTATCACTTAAAATAAATCCACCTGTAGAAACTCCACTGTTACCTAAATCCACTCCCTCTAATTTATAGATACCAGCCATAAGATATGAAAAATCATAAGAGTTTGGATATTGGAAATAAGAACCTCCAATTTTAAAACTTAAAGATTCTACATCAAGTTCTATAGATAAAAAATAATTTTAAATGGTTAGATTTATGTATATAAATGAAAAATGATTTAATTTATATAAAAATTACCTAGGCATTCGACATTGATTGTTAGTTTTGAATTGATTATAAATGATTTTGAACCACTGGTACCAGAAGCAAATCCTACTTCAAATAGAGCTGATGTGTCGTTGTACAATAATTTTGTTTGTGATGCTACTTCTGAGAATGTTAATGTTGAACAATCTTCATTTTCAGATTCCACAACACAAAGTATAGTATAAAGATATGAACAATCAATTGAGCTGGTGTAATATTTCTTGTGAATACCTTTTGTTGTTACATCTTTAATTATATACCCATTAATAAAAGTAAAAACTAAAAAAAACAAAATAATAATATTTATTTTTACCATTATTTAAAATTTATAAAAATAAAAAGAAAGGGAAAGTATATTTTAATAAAAAAAACTCATTTGTCTCAAAAATTAAAAAAAAAAAATTAAAAAATTTTTTTTTTTTTTTTGATTCTTAAAATTTTTATCTTTTTTTCAAAGTTTTTTTATATTAGCAGGAGAAGAAATTTTCTAGTGATTAAAAATTATGGAAAGTAATTCATTTAAAAATTTTTATTAAAAATTATCTCTTTTTTTATAAAAAATAATCAATTTTTATCTATTTTATAAATTTTACTGAAATAGTTAAAATAACATCTCAAACACACATTATAATTTATTTCTTTTTCAAAAAATAGATTTTTAATTTTTGAAAAAGAAATAAATTATAATAATATTATGATAATATTTTTTTTATTTTTTTTATTCATTTTATTTTTATTATTTTTTTTTTCGTTTTTAAAATTTTTGAATTTTTTTTTTTTAAAAAAAGATTATTATTTTTATTTTGGCTATTTTATCATTTTTTTTAAGAACATCATATAAAACATCTTAAATTTGACTATTACATTCTTTGGGAAGACATAACTCAATACTAGGTTTTGTGGAAGGAAAATAATCATAAATAATAATCAAATTTATTTTCTCAATTATATTTTATTTCTTATTATCCTTTTTTTTTATTTTGCATTATGGGATCCAAAAAATCTTAAAGATGAAAAAGTCCAATATTAATAATAAAAACGAAATTAAAACAATAATTTTTAATCTCCAAAATTTCACTAAAAATTTTGGAAAGGAAATTAATAGGGAATACCGAAAAATTCTAATTTGGGCTGTTGTTTAAAAGTTTATTTTATATTGTTATTATAAATATTTATTTAAAGAGATTGAATTAAAGACAATTATTTTTTTGATTGATTTATTTTATTGAACCTTTTTTTTAAATAGAAAAACCTATTTTTTAAATTTATCCATCTTTTGTGGTTTTTTATAATTCTTTCATCTCTTGTACTTTTTTATTTACATTTGAAATGAACTTTTTTTGATTTCTTTTTTTTATAATGTGATATAAAATTGATACAATTATAATTGATACAAATGTAAAACAACCAATAACAATTCCTGCTATTTTTGGGCCTGATAGTTTGGATTTATTTGAACAGATTGAACCTGATTTGGATGATGCTGAATTTGAATCAATAAGAACTGAGAAATCTGGATCTAAAATGATTAATTCTCTGTAATATGGAATTTGAATACCAATATATGATTGTAACTCTTTAGTTCCGCTAATTGGTTTCATATATTTGTCTAATAATATATTGGTTACTGATCTAATAGTTGAATCTATAATACCTCTTCGAATGAATCTACCGTACAATGAATGGTTGTCAATTTGAATCTTTACATAGTTTGAGTTATCTCCTGATGTTGTTTCTCCAAACTCTCTTACTGAACAAATGTCATCAGTTGTATTTGATTGTATTAATGCTGACATTATTAACTGAAGTTGACTTAATGAATCATCAAATGAATAATCGCTAATTTCAATCGTATATTTCATTGATGATGGATTCATTATTAATTGTTCGTTTGCGAATGTGACATTTGTTTCATTTGTAAACCATTTTAGTGTTACATTAACATTGGTTGTTGTGGATTTTTTATCTTTTTTTGTGATTTCTAAAGTTGTATTATAAATAAAAGTTGTGTCGTCTAATTGTTTAACTGTCCATTTTTCAAATGGTTTCTCATAAATCACATCACCTAAAATATTAACTTCTCTAATTGATACCAATGTAATTAATGATTTGTATGTAACAGTTGAGTTATTATTATTTGTACCTGGTAATGTAATATTTGTAGTTGGATCAGTTTTATTTGCAGTTGGTGGATCTATAATAATGATTTGAGATGAACAATCATTGCCAATCCATGGTGAAAAACATACACATCCTTGATTTTCAACACATTTACCATTTAATGGACCTCCGCATACTGGTGAACCTAAACAATATTGTGGCTTGTTTGTAGGTATAGGTGTTGAAGAAGGAGATGAAGTGGGTGTCATTGAATCAGAACTTGACGAAGGTTCGAAAATATTAAAAATTGTTGGTATTACGGTAATAGAGTTTGAAATTAGAGTTCTAGTTTGAATAGAGACGATAAATGGTTTATCTGTTGCTTTTATATTTTGAATTTTAATAGCAGATTGGTAATTGGTAGGTGAAGGAATTGAAGCAGTGGTGCTGTCATTAAATGTTATGTGAGCAATTGAAGTTTGGTCAAAACCTCTTCCAAATATCCATAAATCTCCACCCCTTTCTGTAATTCTAAAATAACTTTGGATACTTGGTTCATTGGTGCCAAAAGTGGTTTGTATATAGCTATTAAAACCTTTATCTATTAAATCATTTGTTGGAAAGCCATAATATTTTCCATTATTACTAATGAGACCGTACACTGAAACATATATACCTTGTGGAAAACCAAAGCCAAGCGGAAGTTGCATTTGGCATGAATATGTAATGCTGTTACCATATATCGTGTTACTGCTAACACCTGATTCAACTAATGCGATTTTTGATGGGCACTCTAAAATTTGATTATCAACAGTACTAAGATAAAAAATAGGCACCTGTATTAAGGACATTCCAACAAATGGTTCAGTTGCAGTGATGCTTAAGGTTACTATTCTATTTGTTTTACTGACATCAATTGTAGAAGGTACTTTAAATGCTGTGAACTCTGGAGCTGAAGGTAAATGATCTGGTAAATCTGCACATTGTACATAAAATTGATTAAAAATCGGACTTTTTCCTAATAATTTCGTAAATGGATTTACAATTGGGGAGTATTTAACATTGGGGGCATAGACTGAGAAAAATGAAATTCTATTCATCCTATCATAAAAAGCGGCTTCTGTGATATAATAGTTTTGGGAAATACATGGATATCTTACTGGAATTGAAAGATCATAGTCACCTAAAAATTGATTACCACCTTTTTTGACATCTTTTGAACTAAAGGAAACATTGAAAAAAGAAGAATCGACATCCGATCTTAGGGTAACATAACCCCAATCAAAACCATTAACTTTATCTTCAATAGTAAATGTCCATTTAATAAAATCAATATCGGTTACATTGCCTATTGGTGGATTACTTGTCATTTTTATAACAATTGGACCACTTAAATCTAAATCTATAATAAACAAAATTAATTAATAATAAGTTAAACTAAAACAAAATAAAACTAAAATAGTTTTTTAATTATATATAATAAAAATAAAATAAAATAATGCATACTTGTTTTTTTAATTTTTAATTGTGTTGGTAAAATTTTGCTATGTATACTCTTTGTGCCATAAAGAATTTCAAATAAAAAATCTCCAGTTTGAGTAGAAGCTTCCACATAAAATTCTATTTCAAATAGACTTAACTCTTGATTATAAGTTGAATAAAACAAATTTTCCGTAGAAACATTTGGAGGGTATACAGGGTTTTGAAGAACTTCTCCTTTTGGTGACAATATAAAAATGGCATCTTTTTGAACAATTTTGCTAAAGTTAAAATATATTATATTAAAATGTCTTTTATTTGAAACATCCAAGTCATTATATAAAAATGATACCTGGTTTATAGAATAAATATCAACTATAAAAAATAATATTAATAAGAGGTCAATACATATGAATAAATAAGTTATTTTGTATTCATACCGTCATCTTGAAAAGGAGCTTGAAAAATATTAATAGAATTATCCATATTTAATAAATAACCATCTTTAATTGATAAAAATGATCCAATCTTATCATATAACTCAATATGAAAATGTTTAGATGGACTGGTGAATTCAAGAACCCCATCTGTTTCTGTTCCTGATATTAATGCTTCATACCCATGTCGATATGAGGGAATATATAGATTTTTAATATATAAAAATGATTTGATCATTTTTGCATGAATTCTATATAAAAAAATATCTGATACAATATGAATAACTTGAATATTGGTTATTACTGGTGGCTGTATTGGAACTAAAAAATGAATAAGTAATTTATTTATTTATAAAGCTATATAATATTTAAATATTTACTTCCAGTTAATAAATTTGTATACAGAATAGATTTTTCATTTGGACCAGGTTCACTAGTAACAGAATACTTTAAACTTGTTTCAATATTTGAAACGTCAAACGGTAAAACTAGAGCAGAAGCACTATATTTAAAATTATTATTGTCTCCTTCTACAAAACCGTATGGAAATATCATTGACTTCGGATCAGAATTACCAACTTTAATATTTAGCGATGTTAAATAGTATTTTGTATCACTGACAAAATTTATATTGATGATTGATATTTGATTTTTATACAAATTTTTATTGGCAGCTCCTGTCCCAAGTTGTGGCCCAATAAGAACTAGAAATAATTTTTAAAAATAATTAAATATAAATATACCAAAAATTTTTTTTTTAAATTTATAAACACATACATTGACTGTAATTTCCCGCTGTCGTAAAAGATATTTTCAACTTATAATCGTTTTTTGAATAAAGTATATTTGTAAAATAATCGTTAAAAGTGTCAAAATTGCATAAAAAAACTGTTGAATTTTCATTTCCATAAATTGGATAATAAGAATCATAACCATTGGAAACTCTTTCCAAAACAAATATAGAGTCGTATGGGTTTTTATTTGTTTTGAATGAAAAAAGTGGACCTTGATTATATCCAGCTATTTTATCAATATATTCCGATATTTCAAAATTTGAAATATCTATGACACTGCTTAATTGTGATTCTTAAAAAAAAAAAAAAGATTAATAATATATTTTAAAAAATAATATATATGATTGTTACAATTGAAATACCTTTTAAAAGTGGGTCCAATAAATATTTTTTACTTTGTAAATTAGTTTTGACTTGAAATTCAATGGGTTTTGAAAAATCAACATTACCTGGTAACGCATAAGGACAGTCCATTAGGAAATAGTTTAAATATAAATAAGTCATAGTGCAATATGATCTTATCAGGTCCAAAAACAATTGATTACCCAATGAATCTAAACTGTATGTTTCGCCTAATTGAATTCCTTCTAATATGAATAAACCTTTGAAACCATAACTATTAACTCCTACAATTGGATATCTATAATATTGATTTACTAATTTAAAATTTAAAATCTCTAAATCCAAACCTATTTTAAAAAAAAAAAATAAAACTTATAAGCACATAATACAAATTTTTGTAAATTAAAATACCTACTAATACATTCAATATTATATTTAAACTCTGAATTAACACTAATTGTTATATTACCAACAGGTACGCCAAAAAAAAACTTGTACATTGAAGCAGTATCATTGTGTAGCACTTTGGTGTTAACTATTGATCCAGGTTCTATTGATAATGTATCACCACATTCACCACTTTCTAAAACACATAATATTAGTTTGGTAAAAAAACATGTGCCAACAGATGTATATTGTTTATTTGTTTTTGTATAGTATGACGGAGTCACATCTTGAAAAATTGCATTTTGGACTTTTACAAAATAAACTAAAATAAAAAATAATAAAAAATATATTATTTTTTTTTTCACAAACATTTTATTTATTATTATTATTTTTATTATTTTTATTATTTTTATTATTTTTATTAAAAATTTTCTTTTCAAAAAAAAAATCATTTTCTTTTCCAAACAATCTTGAAAATATCTTTCTGACAAAAAAAAAAAAATTTAAAATAAAATAAAATTTAGGCAATACGGAATTACACACGCTTATCTAAATATTTATTTAAAAAAAATAAATTTTATTTTTATAATACCACCGGTTTTATAATTATATTGTACAGGTTGGTTAAAATTTTAACCAGTTTTAGTGTGGGTTTTAAAAATTATTTTTATATTTTTATAAATATTATTATAAGAGATTGGATTGAATTAAAGTACAATTTTAATATTTTTTTGGATTGATTTATTTTGTTGAGAATTTTTAAATAGAAAAGTCTATTTTTATAATTCTTTCATCTCTCGAGCTTTTTTATTTACACTTGAAATAAACTTTTCTTCACTTCTTTTCTTTATAAAGTGGTATGTAATTATTACTAGTATAATTGCTACAAATGCAACACAACCAATAACAATTCCTGCTATTTTTGGGCCTGATAGTTTGGATTTATTTGAACAGATTGAACCTGATTTGGATGATGCTGAATTTGAATCAATAAGAACTGAGAAATCTGGATCTAAAATGATTGATTCTCTGTAATATGGAATTTGAATACCAATATATGATTGTAACTCTTTAGTTCCGCTAATTGGTTTCATATATTTGTCTAATAATATATTGGTTACTGATCTAATAGTTGAATCTATAAAACCTCTTCGAATGAATCTACCGTACAATGAATGGTTGTCAATTTGAATCTTTACATAGTTTGAATTATCTCCTGATGTTGTTTCTCCAAACTCTCTTACTGAACAAATGTCATCAGTTGTATTTGATTGTATTAATGCTGACATTATTAACTGAAGTTGACTTAATGAATCATCAAATGAATAGTCGCTAATTTCAATAGTATATTTCATTGATGATGGATTCATTATTAATTGTTCGTTTGCGAATGTGACATTTGTTTCATTTGTAAACCATTTTAGTGTTACTTTAACATTGGTTGTTGTGGATTTTTTATCTTTTTTTGTGATTTCTAAAGTTGTATTGTAAATAAAAGTTGTGTCGTCTAATTGTTTAACTGTCCATTTTTCAAATGGTTTCTCATAAACCATATCACCTAAAATATTAACCTCTCTAATTGATACCAATGTAATTAATGATTTGTATGTAACAGTTGAGTTATTATTATTTGTACCTGGTAATGTAATATTTGTAGTTGGATCAGTTTTATTTGCAGTTGGTGGATCTATAATAATGATTTGAGATGAACAATCATTGCCAATCCATGGTGAAAAACATACACATCCTTGATTTTCAACACATTTACCATTTGATGGACCTCCGCATACTGGTGAACCTATACAATATTGTGGTTTATTTGTTAAAGGAGGAGTTTCTGTTGGATCAGGTACATCCACAATATTAAAAATAGTTGGTTCGATGGTCATAATATTTGATTGCAATGAATTTGTTTTGATATATAATTTATATGGTTTAAAGGTTGCTTTGACATTTAGTAGTTTAATAACAGTTGAATTGGATATTGAAGCTTGAACTACACTTTTGCTGCCATCATCAAAAGTAATAAAAGCTGTTGAGGTTGCTCCAAAACCACTGCCAAATAACCAAAGGTCGCCACCCCTCTCCGTTATTCTATAATAAGTTACAAGATTGGGATTATTTTCGTTGAATGTAGTTGAGATATAGTAATCAAAATCTTTGGGTGTCATTTCATATGCTGAAAGTCCACTAAATAAACCAACATTGTTAATGAAACCATATACTGAGATAAAAATACCGCCTGGGTATCCGAAACCAAATGGTACCTGAATAGTACACGAATAATCTACAACGTTTCCATAAACTGGTTCATCATTTACAGGAGGGTTCACTACAACCTGGGTAATGTTTGACTTACATTCCAAAACTTGATTCATTGTTGTAATAAGATAAACTATTGGGTATTGATCTGTTCTAATACCACATTGAAGATCGTATGCTGTAAATGTAAATGAAATCTCTCTGTTTAAGCCACCTACTTCCAATTGTTTTGTTGAAGCACTAAAAGAAAAAAGATCGGGTGGATTTGTACAATAGATAGGTGTACAGTCAACTGAAATCTTATTAATATTTGAATCATTCAAAAAATATAGAAAAGGATTGATTAGAGATGTATATTCATTTGGTGGTGATATTGAAAAATATGAAATTCTATCGAGTCTATCAAACAATGTGACTTCAGTAATAGTATAAACTTGAGGAATGCATGGGTTTGAAATGATCAATTTAACTTCATAATCACCTGAATATTGATTTCCTCCTGCCTTGACATCATTTACAGTGAATGTATAGTTAAATACAGATGAATCTTCGCTGCCTCTAACTGTTACATACCCGGATTTAAAACCATTGATTGGGTCTTCAATGGTCATTATCCATCCAATAACACCACTTATGTTATTTTCATCAATTTTAGGTGAAGTAATCTTTGTAATTGTTTTAAAAATTGGGCCTTGTAAATCCATTTCTTAATATAATAAAAAAAATAAAAATTAATTAGTAAAACTTACAGATTAATATTTAATAATCTAAATGTATGTGCATACTTGTATTTTTAATAATTAATTGAGTATCTAAATAAGAGCTGAAAAGATTGGATCCGATAAAATTTAATACAAAACCATAAGGCCCAGAATTGGTGTTTTCTTCGATATAAAACTCGATTTGGAATAACCTTTTCTTTTCGTTATATGTTGAGTAAAAGACTGGACCCATACTACCCATATTAGTTATAGTATTTTGATTATTTTCTACACCTACGTGAGTCATTCTAAACTGTGTATCTTTTGGAATATTATCATAGTTGAAATAAAAAATATTGTAATGTCTGTAATTGGTAATATTGATATTGTTATATAAAAATGATACACTTTTAATTGAATATATATCGACTATAAAATAAAAATTATAATAATGTTAATATAAATATTATTTGATATGATCTTTTAAATATAGAGTACTTACAATCATAAACTAATGGTGATTTTAAAATTTTGACTGGGTTAATTGAAATTGCACTACCATATAGGTAATCTTTTGATTTTAAGTAAATATCAGTAACTTTTATTCTAACTACTAAAGGTGAATATAATACTTGATCGATAACTTCATAAACTCCATCTTTTGAATCACCTGAGACTCTGTATTCTGGTCCAAATATAACACCATTTGAGGTTTCAATATTTAAAAAACCATTTGGTGATTTAATATGAACTCTTATTAAAAACAAGTCCGATACTATTTTAATATACTCGAGATTATAAACTACTGGTTCAGTATTTAAATCATATTCTAAATAAAAAATAAATATAAAAAAGTTAAAATTAAAAACAAAAATAAAAAAAGATAATTTTTTTTATAATTTAGATACATACCTAGTGTTTGAAAATTTTTTTGTATTTCGACATTTCCCAGACCTGACTTTATTGAAATAAAGTTTTTGTTATCTACATTATATTGTGGAATAAAAATGTTTATATAGTGTGTAAAGCTTTTGTTGGATCCATAGATAAATCCAAATGGAAAAGACTTTTTAATGCTATTAGGACCAATATTAAAATAGAATGGAGCCAGTTCATATTTAGTCGAACTTACAGTATATAAGTTTAAAATTGAATGTCCTAAAAATTCTTGTTGGAAAGCTTCCGGGTCTATGGTTTGTGGACTTTCAAATAAAACTATTTTAAATATATTGGTTAGTAGTGTTTTATTCGAAATATAACTTTTTAAAAATAAACATACACTGAGGAGTATTAACTGAAAACTCTTTTAAAGGTTTGTAACTGCTACCATCTTGAGAATATAGTTTAAATGTAGAATCGGTATCATAACTATTAAAATTATATAGATATGTTGTGCTCTTGTCATCGCCATATATAGGCTTCATGGAGTTACTACGAGGAAAACCATCGACAGTAAATACTTGAAGAGAAATTGATTTATTTGTTGTAAAAGTTAATATCGGACCTTCATTATATCCAAACAATCCAACATTATTATAATCTTCTGGATATGTTTTAATTTCTGTAATATTGACATAATCATCTGTATATTTATAAAATAAATTAGTTAATATTTTTGTGGAGATAAAAATAGTTTATATAATAATTTTCTTACCTTTAATTGCCTTTTCAAGATTGAATGTTTTTGATTTTCCTGAAACAGTGGAAATTATCATTGTTAAATCATCATTCACTGGAGGAGCTGTATTTGGGAAATAAATTAAAAAATAATTTCCATAGATATTTTGAATTACAGCGCTCTTATCACTTAAAATAAATCCACCTGTAGAAACTCCACTGTTACCTAAATCCACTCCCTCTAATTTATAGATACCAGCCATAAGATATGAAAAATCATAAGAGTTTGGATATTGGAAATAAGAACCTCCAATTTTAAAACTTAAAGATTCTACATCAAGTTCTATAGATAAAAAATAATTTTAAATGGTTAGATTTATGTATATAAATGAAAAATGATTTAATTTATATAACAATTACCTAGGCATTCGACATTGATTGTTAGTTTTGAATTGATTATAAATGATTTTGAACCACTGGTACCAGAAGCAAATCCTACTTCAAATAGAGCTGATGTGTCGTTGTACAATAATTTTCTTTGTGATGCTACTTCTGAGAATGTTAATGTTGAACAATCTTCATTTCCAGATTCCACAACACAAAGTATAGTATAAAGATATGAACAATCAATTGAGCTGGTGTAATATTTCTTGTAAATACCTTTTTGTGTTACATCTTTAATTATATATCCATTAATAATAGTAAAAACTAAAAAAAACAAAATAATAATATTTATTTTTACCATTATTTAATATTTATATAAATAAAAAAAGAAAGGGAAAATATATTTTCATAATAAAAAAAAAAAAAAAAAAAAAACAAAAATAAAAATAAATAAAAAAAAAAAAAAAATAAAATAAAATTCGAAAATACCTCCAAACCCATATCCGCACTTTAAAAAAAAAAATTAAAAAAAAAAAAAAAATCTTAAAAAAAATCGGAAAATTATTGCGGTTGGTTCAAAAACATGCACGAGCTTTAAAATATTTTTTATAAAAAAATTAAATTTCCATAAAAATTTTAAAAAAATTAAAAAAATTAAAAAAAAAAAAAATTTTAAAAAAACCCATAGAATTAAAAAAAACTTCGTGGTTCGAACCAACCGCACAAAATTAAAAAAAATTAAAAAAATAAGTGAAACTCTCTTATTTTTTATAAAGACAATGATTGTTATGATTATAATACAATGTTCTTTTATTTTAATTTAAATTATTTAATTTTAAAGCAGCAGCTGCAATTTTAAGATTTGTTCGATATCTTTTGTAGATAACTGCGGAGATGATGACAATAAGGGCCGCACCTACTGTTGGTGCAATAATTACAACTGGTAAAAACCATTCTCTTTTTGATTCACATTCCCTATCATTTGATTTACTTGATACCAACAATGAAAAATCTGGTGAATAAAAAAAAAAAAAAAAAAAAAATAATTAATAAACAAATAAAAAAAAAAAAAAAAATAATAATTTATGTTGTTTAAACTTACCTGGATCAATTATACATTCATTGATACAATGGGGCATGTTTAAACCTATCAATAAAGAGTCTTGATCTTTAGAAACTATTTGGGTGGACATGTAGGTAACTCTTAAATCTGATAACATTGAACTTAAAAATCTGCCATAGAAAATTTTATTTTCTCTTGAGATCGTTATATAATTGGATGAGTGAAGACTATTAATACCATCTGTATCAAAATCGGTTTCTTGCTTACATTTGACGTTACTGTCTTCCTCATCACCAATCAATGACAAAATTCTTAATTGGAGACTGTTTAAAGTGGAATTGTATTTGTAGGAATGAATGGATACTGTAACTTTTAATGAGTTTGGATCCAATGTAAAGTTTTGGTTTGCAAAAAAGTAATCTTTAGGATGATTTAAAACCTGCTCTACACTATATTCTACTACACAACCTGTATTTGGAATGATTTGATTAAAAGTCGTTATTATACTATTGGTAGTGTTGGTGGTTGAGATTTGTTTCCATTTATTATAAAGTATGTGTTCTTTATGTACATTTCCATCAAATTTAAATTCAACCAAACTGTGTATATTTATTGTAAAAGTTGTGTTTGAATTTCCTATGCTTGAAGAACCATCCCCGCCAACACCTGTTGTCGAGTTTGAGCCTGTTGATAAACAATCTGGACCTGCGAAACCCTCTGAACACTTGCATATACCTGTAGTTGTATCGCATACACCTTGTTTGGAGCAATTTTTTAAACATTCGTATGCTTTTGGTGTGTAACGGAATGCATTGACACCCAACACTTTCAAATCCCTATCAGTAAATAATATGTCCTTAGTACCTTTACCTGGACCAATGGTGCATTGTATTGTGTCAAAAGTACCTCCTCTATATACAATTGGGTTTTTACATTCTTGGTCACCAATTAAAACCTTAGCATTGCTTGTAATTTGCCCAAAATAACCATATATATTTATAACCCCGCCAGTTTCTTCTGGAGCGCTATCACTTGAGCCAATAAAGAGTTTAGAGTTTTGACAAAAATCACCATTGGTTTGAGTATCACATTGACAAATACCGTCGTGTGGTCCACATAAGCCGTGATTTGAACAATCGAAAGGACATGTTCTACATAAATATTTACTTGAAGCTTCTACTTCATATACGCAATATCCATTTTCTTTCATTGATATAATTTTAAATTCTTCATTTGGATCACAACTTAATTTGATGTAGGTATTTCTATAACCTGATGGCGATGCTGCCAAACAATTTGTACCACCAAGATTATTTGTTTTATAGTGAGTTGTCATAACAATTCCTGTATCATTGAATGTAACAATTTCTTCTACATTTAAATTACCAGCATTATTATTATCTTGACACGCACGTTGTTTGCATGGATCTACTGTTACTCGACAAAAACTAAAATAAAATGTAGTATCTGCACCAATACCAAAGGTTTTAAAACCTTTTGAATAGAAATCTGTATTTTTACTATAATATAAAAGGTAAAAATTAATTTAAAATCTATTGAAATTGTCTATTTTATTGATAAATATACTTTACATTAATGGATTTAAATCATAGGTTTGATTGTTTACATCATTTACATAAATACATTTTGTTATTTGAGTTTTAACAAAATTATTATTTATTAAAAAAATAATAAAAAAGAAAAAAAATTTAATTTTTTTCATTGTTTTATTATATCTATTTTTATTATTGTTATTATTACCAAATTTTTTTTGGATATTGAAATTTAAAAAAAAATAAAAATAAAAAAATGAAAAAAAAAAAAATATAAAAAAATAAAAAAATAAAAAAAAAATAAATATTTGGATTTAAATAAATATCATGATTTTACGTCTTTTCACTTTTATTATTGTTCTCTGGTTATTTGATTTAGTTATGGGGCGTCTGGTTGTTAAACCTTTTATTTATTCAAATAAATATTTTAACAAAAAAATTAAAATAAATTATAATTTTTTATAAAAAAAAAATATCAAGAAAAATATTTTATTAAGAGTAAAAAAAATCCTTTTATAAAAAATAATAATAAAAATAATTCAAAAAAGCAATAATAAAAAAATGATTATTTGTAAAAAAAGAAAAAATTAATTAAAGTGTTAAAAAAAGTAAAGTGTGTGAATTTAAATTTAAATTTTTTTTTTTTGTTTTTTTTTAATTTAAAAATGTGTTTTTTTTTTTTTTTTTTTTAATTAAAAAATAATAAAACAAATAATAATTTTTAAATATATATATAAAAGTCAAAATGAAAATTGTTATAATTGTATTTCTTTTATTTATAAAATATATAATAGTTGAATGTAGTTTATTACATTTTTTACAACCACACAACTACATTTTATCAAATAACTGGAGGTTGTCACGAGACCGGTCTTTAAATATAGGATGGGAAAATGAAGATCATAATACGAGTACAATTCATTCAATAACAACTTCTTATGATAACCAGTATATAATAACATGTGCTAATGATAAAATAGCAAAATTTCACAGGATATTAATGTATGTATAAAATTATAATTTACCTTTTCTTTGTTTATTTTTTTAAAACCAAAAAAGAAACAAATCATTAATAATATAAACTAGGTACCCGAATTTATACCCAGATTGGACGCATTTATATTATGGTAGTTTAAAATTAAGTGGATATAATGACGAAAATATTGAAAATTTAAAATGTATTTCATCAAAGGATGGTACCCAACTAGTTTCATTATCAATAAATAGAAATAAAAATTCAATAATAGTAGATGTTTATGAAAAAACTGAATTAGATTTTGTAGAAAATAGAATGCCCATTATAAAACCAAATAGAAAAGATTCATTCAAACATGTTAATAATATATCACCAAACTATAATATTGTATTCCCATTAGATGATTATAATGAAGTGTGGATTAATACATTGGAAATTTCAAGTATTAGAGAATCATTAAAAAACGATAACTATAATAAATTAGTAAATAAAATAAATAACAATAGTGAATCATACCAATCAAATATTTATAACTATAAAGAATCATCTATTCCACCTAAACCACAATTAGAAATTTCACCAAATGGCAACTCATTATTACTTTCATTTTATAATAAAATATATATTCAACAACTTCAGGACAACAATGAAAAAGAAAAAAACAATAACATAGTAGTCATAAATGAAGATTATATTGTAAAGGATATTAAATTTATACCAGATAGTAATAAGAGAAATTCATTTTTAGTATTAGCTTACGATAATAGCAAAAAATCAACACCATCAACATCACTTTCCTCAATTAAAAAGAACAAAATTATTCTCTATAATTATGAAGAAGGGGGTTGGGTCGATAGAGAACTAGAACTACCTTATATTTTATCGAACTCAGTTAGAATGGTGACAAATAAAGAAAAGGGTGACGACTATGATTGCTATCAAAATAATAAAGATACTTATGAACAACCTATATTAATAGCATTTCAAGATTTAGATTTTACAGTTCACCTAACACAACTTTTTAAAAGCAAAGATAAAGGCAAAGATTACATCAAAATAATCAAATCTCTACCAATACCTTTTCACTCAGAAACACCATTAGATTCAAAACACCATGTTTCAATTGGATTTTCAAAAGATTCAAGTTTAATTTCAATTCAATATCCAAACTCAAACATTATATATATTTTAAAAAAAGACTCTGATCACAATGGTATATATGACTTCAAACTAACCTCAATCATTGATGAACTACCAACAAGAGTTAATGGCGACGTATTACTTTTTAATTTAAAATACAACTATTTGGTGACAAATTTTGGAGGTCATCTATCATTTTTTAGAGATTTAGCTGATCAAGTTTCACACTGTGACAAAACAAGTAGAACCAAAAGCTACTACCTTCCATCGCCACCAATAATATTAAAAAATGATCAACATTTAAACCAGTCTGATAGTTTATTATTAGAGAAATATGGAATATTATATTTGTTAAAGAATGATCAAACCTCGCTTAATTCTATTAAAGTTAAATATATAATATATACAATATTTGGGTATCTTTTAATATATCGCCTACAAAGAAGGATAAGTCAGTTCGAATATTTATACCTTGGACCATTTATTGAAAGAATATTAAAAAAAAAAAGTAAAAAACTCACCCTTGCAAATATTCAAGAATTTTTCTTTTATATAATTGCTCTATTTATTTTGGGATTCTCATTTTATGAAATTGTTAACCAACCTGCTTTTACAAATGATTGGCCCGCTCATATTCATCACATCGATCAATTTTTAAATCCTCCATCAAAAGATAGTTCTATATTTAAAAACTATATCATCTCTAATCAACAACAGTATGAACAGTTAAACACAAATAGCCACTACTTTAAATCTTTTAAAGATCAACATCAGAGCAATAAATATTTTGAAGAGCTAATACCTGCATTGATTAGAAATCATTTCGATTTTGACTATAGTCATTATATGCATTACCACGGTCCAAACACTTATCCAGCTGGTTTCACCTACCTCTATACCTTTTTATACTATATTTCAAATAGGGGCAATTGTTTACAAATATTTCAAGCAATATGGGCAATTTTAGAATTTATCAACTTTATATTAATCAAAAGAATATGTTCAAAACTAAAAATACCTATATTTTTATCAATCTTACCAATTATTTCAAATAGATTACATTTATATAATGTAAGAATAGTTATTAATGACTTTCCATCAACATTTTTAATTCATATAGCAATTCTATTATTCATATCAAAAAGATTCAAGCTATTTTCAATTATATATTCTTTAACAGTTTCTTTAAAGCTTCATACAATATTTTATTCACCAGCTATTTTATTTATTTTTTTTAACTCTCTCACACTTAACGAAACAATTTATTATCTATCAATAATGGCAATCATTCAAATATTATTGGGTTTACCATTCTTATTAGTCAATCCAGTTGCATATATTTCCAATGCTTACGATTTAAGCAGAACTTTATTATGGGAAAAAACAAGAAACTTTAAATTTGTTGGCAGAATTCTATATGATATGAAACTTTTTAATTTATTATTGGTAAGTGTGATTATATATTATAATAGGATGACAATAAACTAATAAAAAATCTTAATTATTTATAGATATTAGCTTTGGTATTGACAATTATAGTCTTTATAATGAAATATCAGAATATTATAAATCAATTAAAAAAATTAGAAAATATAAAAATTGTGAAGAAATTAAAAGTAAATGATATCAAAAATTTCAAATATTATGACTCTGTTAGTATGGAGTTAATAATGAATAGAATATTTACATTATCATTTATTAGTATCAATTTCTTTGCAATAGTGTGGGCAAGAGGGTTATACACTCCGTTTATGTGTTGGTATTTCTATACTCTTCCCATCATCCTCTACTTTTCAGAATTCTCAAACACCTTCATCATACTATATTGGATATCCCATGAAGTTTTATATAGGGCATTCAAAGATTTATATTTCGAAATGTTTGCAACATGGTTATTTTTTAACATTAACCTATCAATCATTATTAGATTATTCCAAAAGTTTAAACCACATGACAAAAACAATATCAAATTATATAATATTAATAATAGTACACAAGAAATATATAATAAAAAACTAAATTAGAAGAATAGTTAAAATTTTTATAAAAAGAAATAATATTTAAAAAATATAAAGCTAATAAAATTAAATAAAAGTACCTGTTATAATTTAAATAGGTTTACGACATAAATTTTTTATTTTTTATTTTTTTAAAAAAGGAGATTTTATTGTTTATTTAGTTTCCATGAAAAGTTCTCTACCAATTAACATTCTTCTAATTTCACTTGTACCAGCACCAATTTCGTAGAGTTTAGCATCTCTTAAAAGACGACCAGTTGGGAATTCATTAATGTAACCATTACCACCTAATGTTTGGATAGCTTGAAGAGCCATTTGAGTAGCATTTTCAGCGGTATATAAAATGACAGCGGCACAATCTTTACGTGAAGTGTAACCATTATCGGCAGATTTAGCAACAGAGTAAACATATGAACGTGAAGCATTTAAAATAGTGTACATATCGGCGACTTTACCTTGCATTAATTGGAATTCACCAATTGGTTTACCAAATTGTTCACGTTGGTGAATGTATGGGATAACGTTATCTAAACAAGCTTGCATAATACCTAATGGACCGGCTGAAAGAACTAAACGTTCATAATCTAAACCGCTCATTAAAACCTTGACACCACTACCAACTTGACCAATAACATTTTCGTCTGGAACAAAACAATCTTCAAAAATTAATTCACAAGTATTTGAACCTCTCATACCTAATTTATCTAATTTTTGACCAGTTGAGAAACCCTTCATACCTTTTTCAATTAAAAAGGCAGTAATACCTTTGCTACCAGCATTAATATCAGTTTTAGCATAAACAACTAAAACATCGGCATCTGGGCCATTAGTAATCCACATCTTGCTACCATTTAAAACCCAACCACCATCTGTTTTTGTTTAATAAAAATAAATTAGTTTATAATTTAATATATATCTATTTATTTAAATATGATAAATACTTGTTTTCTTGGCATTGGTTTTCATTGAAACGACATCTGAACCGGCGTTTGGTTCAGACATAGCTAAAGCACCAACAAAATCACCAGTGATTAATTTTGGTAAATATTTTTCTTTTTGGGCTTCGTTGGCATTTCTTGTAATTTGATTAATACAAAGATTACTGTGGGCACCATATGAAAGAGCAACTGAAGCTGAAGCTCTTGATAATTCTTCCATAGCAATGCAATGTGCAGTGTAACCTAAATCTAAACCACCGTATTTTGATGGGGCAGTAATACCTAAAAGACCTAAATCACCCATTTTCTTCCACATTTCCATTGGGAAAGCATTCTTTTTATCGACATCTGCAGCCATTGGGGCTAATTCGTTTTGTGCAAATTCCCTAACAGTTTCTTGTAATTGTAATAAGGTTTCGTCAAAACCATTGATATCTCTGCTTGTATAAATTGAACGACTTAAAATACCGCTACTACGGATTAAGCCAAAGAAATTGGTTTTTTTGATTGCAAAACTTAACATTTTTATTATTTTAATTAATTATTACAAAAAATGAATGATTTATACCTAAACGAAAAAGAATCAAAAAAAATTAAAAAAAAAAAATATTCAAAAAAAAAATTTTAAAAATTAAAAAAAAATAATTTCAAAAAAAAAAATTAAAAATAATAAATTTTAAAAATTACATTTAAAAAAAAAAAAAAAAAAAAAAAAAAATTAAAAATATATAAACACAAAGGATAAATATTTATCTTTTAAAAAGAAAAATTAAATAATAAAATATTAAAATTTATATATATTTTATAACAAATCACTATTATTTTAAACCTTTTTTTAAATTAAAAATTAAATTTCTTTTTTTTAAAAATTAAAATTTTTTTTAAAATCCATTTTTTTTTTTTTTTAATTTAAATAATTTTTTTTATAATAATAAATTCATTTTTTATTTTTTTTTCAAATTAATTACAGATAATGATAGGATATTATATATTAATTTTTTCAATTCAACTCATTGGGGGTTTACATGGGGTATTTACCCGTTCAGAAAGATTCTATGATGTTTTTGGGTGTGGGACATTCATTTTAAATGGTATATTAATGTTGATTGAAAATTATGATGAAGTTCCCAGTCATTTGCAAGATAAAAGCTATATGGGCTTAAAAAGGGCTCTATTAGTATCAATTTTAATTATTGTATGGTCAGGAAGATTACTTATATTCCTTAATGACAGAATTAAAAAGCATGGTGGTGTTGACAAAAGATTCAACGATGTCAGGGACAAACCAGCAAAATTTTTATACTACTGGATGATGCAAGGTGTTTGGATTAGCTGTATTTTAACACCATTATTTTTAGTATCAAGACAACACTTTTCAATCTCAATATCAATTACCGATTACCTCTTAATTATATTCTGGGTATGTGCTTTTGTAATGGAAACACTTGCTGATGTTCAAAAAACCATTTTCCTTATGAAGCCAGAAAATAAAAACAAATTTATCAATATTGGTCTATGGAAGAAACTTCGTCATCCAAACTACTTTGCCGAAATTTTAATGCATGCCACCATCTATATCTTATGTGCTAGAGGTCTAAATAGCAGAATTGATCAAATGATTGCTCTCATTGCTCCAATCTTCAAAGTATTCCTCATGACAAAAATTGCAACCCCAATGTTGGAAAAAATAGCTGATAATAAATTTAAATCACAGCCACAATACCAACAATATAAACAATCAACTTGGAAAATTATTCCATTTATAAATTAAAAATAATAAAAACAAATTATAATTAAAATTATAATTTAAATAAATGTACACATATTATAAAAAAAATATAAAAAAATTTTAGTTTATATATAATAATAACATATTATTTATTTTTAATTTGTGTTATCGTCAATATTACTATCATTAGTAGTATTATTATTATTATTATTATTATTATTTAAATTTAAGTGATCAAAATCTCTTGAAATTGAAATAGCTCTTGATCTTGGTGATGTATTATTAATTTGATTTGATTTTATCCATTTTACATTATTTTCTTGATTATTTTCTTGATTATTTTGTTGTTGTTGTTGTTGTTCTAATTCTAATTGTTGTTCCTCTAATAATTTTAGTTGTAATTTAATGTGTTGTCTTTGATGATATTGTTTCTTTTCAAATGTTAAAATTGAATCTGGTGTAATTGATAATTTAGAAGTATCCAATTCACAAAAGTCGAAACATAATAATTCATTTATAAATTTATAATCTACAGATTTCTTCGATGTTTGTAAATGTCTACTATAGATACAGTTTGAAAAGTTTGAAAGGAATGATTTAAATTCATTAAAACCTGAAGGAAGCTCGTTAACATTTCTTAGCATTATACATGGACGTAAATATGGTGCATCAAACAATTGAGTTTCTATTATACCTGATGATGTTAAAACCAATTGAGTATCGATATTAGCTTGTTGAACTGCTTGTTGTTCTTTGGTTGGTGGTTGTTTATTATTTGCGATTTGGTCAACAAATGGATGGAATGGTGGTTCTTGTGAGTGTTTAACAAAGCAATCTTTGACAAATACCCATTCAAACAAATTGAATTGCTCGGTGATTGTTGGAAGTGTTAAAGCCAAATCTAAAAATTTACATGCTGCAAATACCAAGTCGTGGTTATCAGAGTGTGAAAGGATATCAATTAATTCTGTAATAATAATTGGCCAGAAGGAACGAAGATTTTGATGTGAGATTCTAACTAAAAGTACACGTAAACAGAAAAATACTTGAAGATGAAGCACTGGTGCATTTGGGATTTTAAGTGCTTCGACAATCTTTTCCTGGACTAAAGGTAATATAGAGAGGTATTGATTTTCTGTTCCAGAGTAAATGAGGAAACTTAAACGTTTCAATTGCTTTGCCCTATTTAAGTTCTCGGTATCTTTGCTTGTAAACATTAATGATGATGAAGATGACCATGGCTTATGAAGTAATTTTGTAAAATCACTAAGAGCAGTCTTATCGTGAATCATTGTTTGATTGAGGAATTTACTAATTTGCTCCAAGGTCTTCAAGTCATTCTTGAAAAAATCTTGGTCATGGAATAAATCGATAACTTCCTTTTTAATTGATTTTAAGTTGTATGAATAGTCGGATAATGAACTGAAAAGACATGCAGTATAAAAAGTATTATCACGGGTGACATCTGGAGTTTTAGCTCTTAGATAGGCAGAAACATTGTGGAGTGAATTTGCAAGAATTGTATTGATTTTTTCTTTATCGTCGAAAATAGAATCCAATAATGGTGCTAAAACATTGGCCAATGAAATCAATGCTTTGAGACTAACTTGTGATTTCAAACGATTAGCTTCTTTCTTTAATTTTGTTGGAGCTGAAATTGATGGGTCTGATTCACCTCCTGATGATGAACGACCCCTGGCATCCTCACCAATAGGGGTACTACTAGAAGTGTAGGCTGATGGTAAGGTTTGTAATACTGAAGATGGAATATAACCACTTTCTTGGAACATTCTAAAATCAACAGAGCTTCTATTAGGAGGAGCATTCGAGCCCAATGTAAGTGGTGATGAAGTGAATGATAGTGTACTATTAGCCAAAATATCTGATGACGAGCTAGTATGTGCTAAGGATGGAGGAGTATTTGCCAAACTATTACCTGAACCAATTGATGAATTTGAGTTACTTTGAGTTGACGATGATGGTGGTATATACATTGCAGAGATATCACTAAAACCTCTACCAGAAATTAAAAAGCATGCATCGACAATCTTTGGTAATAGATCTTGTAACTCTCTTTTGTTTAATTTAGCACGGTTTGGATTTTTTGTTTTTTCATCAGGTGTTAATTTTTTGATATATATATTTAAAATTTGTAAGAGTGATACAAAAGTAACTGGATTTGAACTATGAAGAGACTCTTTGATAAATGATAGGAATGCAATCGATACCCCATCAAATTGGCTGCTGTACTCTTCAATATATTTATAAACAAAATCATAGAGAGAACTTTCTTTCATTGTTAATTTGTGTAAAATAGTCTTTGAAAGCTTTGAACGTTCTTGATTACGAATTATACCAAGAATTTGATGAGCTGCACTGAATATTGACTCCTCTTTAATTGACTCTAAACTATTGATAATTTCCATAATAACCTTTCTATTTTGAATCGATTCTAAATCTCTAGGAGTTGGGGTACCAATACTAGGTGTGTTTGGTGTATTATTACTACTACCACTATTTAATATTGATGAAATATTTGAAATACTTGGGCTCGATGAAATCATTGCAATCGATGGCGATACTTCGTTTCTTTGCCATAACTCTACCATAGCTTCAATAAACTGTTGTGGGTATTTTAACATGAATGGGTCTAAAATATGAAGAATTAAATCTTGAATTGCAAATTTATTATGTGTATCTGAAGAGACATCAGTTGAAATTGAAATCTTGTTTTGACCACTTGATTTTGGCTGACCCCAAATCTTTAGGAATGGTGAAAATACATCAGCAAGTACTGCAAAAATATCCTTTCTAACTTGGCCAATTGGTGTGAGAGTAACTGAAGCATCAATATCACTTGTGAAAACATCTTTAACAAAATCTGTAAATATTTTGACACCAAGTGCTGAACGATGGCTTTGTTGTGTTTCCTCTTGGTTAACCTTATCGAATGATGTTGCTGGTTCTAAGATTGAAAAATTGAAGATAAAAGTTAAACTCTTTAGAATTACAATGATATCACGAGAAGTAATACTATCATAAAGTGTTCTTGATTCAAAAGATCCCAAAATATCACGGAGACAATTAACTATAGTAGTTACAACAGTTGAAAGATGTACAGAATTTGTCATTCTTGGTAAACAGAAAGTTATAAAATCTAACCAATAGAATCTAATATTAAATCTAGTGGATGGTTGAATTAAACCAACAACAGTAGTTTGTAAAAACATTTGTGACTGGGTTATTGAAGTTAATGATGTGGATCCCATTGAATTAGATAATGGATTTGATTGCTGTTGTTGTTGGTGATGGTGATGATGATGATTATCTAAAGATGGTGATAATGAAAAGGTTGGTGAAGCTGATACATAGGATGAGGTTGAATCAATCAATACAATTGATCTTAATAATGATAATAAATGAACTTGGAGCACCATGTTTGAGGTTGAAACTGCTTGAGCTAAATTTTGTAAAATTGGATCCTGAATATAATTTGCAATATCTTGGGCTTTGCTTGGTTGGATAGAAGTCTTTGCTAAAAGGTATTGAAGGAACTCTGCTGCGCAGATTTGAACAACCTCATTTTGTGAAACAAAAGATTTAGTATCACCATTATGATGGCTTGCGATTGAGGTTGGAACTTGACCTTGAATAAATCTTAATGCTACAATAATTAATAAATCGATGTAACTGTTTGTTGGCATAAATAAGAAATCTGACGATGCCTCCATTTGTTGTTGATTATGTTGTTGATTTTGTTGTTGTTGTTGTTGTTGTTGTTGATTATTATTTTTAAAACCGTTATATGTGCTATCACCACCACCTAATGTTGGTGAATTTGTTTGATTAGATATATAATTTTGATGTAATTTTGGTGACTCTCTATAGTTCATTGCCTGTTGATCATTTAAAGCTATAACATCTTTAGAGATTGGTTTTTCGATGACATGTTGAATGAATAATTTGAAATCACACTCGATAATGGTTTTTAATATTTTGAAAACGTAAATTACCCTACGTGTATCATATACTGACTGGTATAAGTTATTAAATCTAATGGTAGATTTGTCCAAAAGTATCTTTAATAGTGGATCTAAAATTCTTTCAGCTCTGGAAATCGAATCGGCTAACCAAGTGTGACCAGTTAAACGAATGACTGGTTCGTCATTACTAAGAGAATCTAACATTAAGAATAGTGTATTTGAAAAGGCCAAAGAAGAGTTACCCAATTCACCAGTTAATCTCCATAAGAGAGCAAATTTTTGATAGCCCTCTATACGATTAGATAAATCTGAATCCAACATTGCATCTGCCATAACTACGCTAACTGCATGTTCATTGAGCTCTCTTAATGAGCAGAAAAGTGAAGCAACACGATAATGAATAGTGCTGTAGGTTGGGTCTAAGAGCGACCAGAGCTTCTTTGATAATTTATTAAAATGTTCGCTGGTAATAATATTCTTGAAAGACCTGCTCATTGTCATATCTCCATGTTTATTTGCCAAATTGATAAATGTTTTGATGGCCAAGCAGGATATGAAAGGGTTATCAGATTCACAAAATCTTAAAACTGGATAAAACCATTTTGGTGTAGACTCTAATGCTGGGGAGGTTTGTTGAGGTGACTGGCTTGGGGATGTGGTAGAACTCTTAAATTGTGAAATTAAGCCAACTAATAATTGGAAAGATAAATCTAAAACTAAAAATAATTCTGAATTTAGCTGTTGTTGTTGTTGTTGTTGAGTTTGATATTGTTGAACTGTATTATTATTGAGGGATGATTTTGGTGATGATGTTGGTGATTGTGGTGTTGGTTGTGGTATAGCCTGAGGTGATGATAATAATATATTGTTTTGAAGTGGTTGTGATTGCTGCACTATATTACCACTTTGTTGATTTAATATTTCATATTGTTCTTGAATATAATTTGAAATTTTAAGGAAATAATCTTGATAGGATTCAATCGACTGTATTAAACAATTTAAAGATTGTGGTGTGTCAATAATAATTTTACCTGTTATTTTTAATAATAGTTGGGTATAAGCTATAATTAATTGATGATCTTGTAACTCCAAAATGTTGTATAATGATTTGATCATAGTTCCAAGTAAACCTGGAAGATAACTTGATTGTACCTCTTCATTGGATAGGTGCATGATATCCAAAATACATTCAACCAATTTGATGGACTCTAAACTTGGTTGATCCAAAAGCATTTGACCAAAGAACTCCCAAATTGCACCTTGATCTGCAATCGACTCTAGTAAGTCATCAGTATATTTTACAATTTGTTTTGAAAATGAGTAACCATCTTTGAAGATATAAATATATTTTAAAATATCTGGTAAAATATCTTTTATAATTACTTGAAACTCTTCCTTTTCAAAGAAATAAATTAAAACTTTAAATGGCAATATTATATTATTTAAATTTAGTAAAGCCTCTTTGTTATTAATTTGTTGTATTGGTTGATTACTATTATTACTATTATTATTACTATTATCGTTGGATGGTGACACTGGGGTATTATTTATTACAATACTATTTATTAAGAAACTACTAAGATTATTATTACTATTGCCACCCATTGTACTATTTAAATTTATAAACTGTTGATTACTATCGAAATATTCCAAAAAGTCAAGAGTTTTTCTAAATATTCTTTTAAATGCATTCACTGTTGGAGCTTTACCATACTTTTCAAAGTATTCTCTATTTGATAATGGCTGATTTGATGACTTATCTTCCAATAACCATGTATATAATCTTTTATTTAATGACATATCTTTATGTGTAACAACCATAATCGCTGATCTTACCAAACTCTCCAATGCCTCCATTGAAAATATATTTAATGATAATGGAAAATGAACTGTAATTAATTCCAATGTATTTCTTTGCACTAAAACTTTAGAATCTGATAATGAATTTGCTATAGCTTGTGAAACCAAAGTATCTTTTTCGGGTAAATACATCACTATAAAATTAAAATTGTTAATATCTGTACTTGAAAAAAATAATAAAAAAATAAAAAACCATTGTACTTACATTGATTTGATACATCGGTTTGTTTTGGTAAACGTAATAATAAATAATTTAATGCTGATAAACGATTATAAGGTGTTGTAATTAAAGTTTTCCAAAGTGCTTGATAAAATAATGTTGTAGCAGTAGATTGTGATAAACTATCTAAAAGATTTTTTACTTGTTCGTAAGCTTCACCTTGGTTTTCCTCTAAACCTGGTAAAATTGATGATACCACACCATTTAAACAAGAAATTAATCTTGATCCCAATGGTATAATATGTTTTTCATATAATTGTATAATTTTAACTCTGACATTTGTACTAGCTAAATGAAATAATGGGAATAAACCTGTTGCATATATTGAAATATCTCTAGATAATCTTTCTTGCTAAAAAAAACCATTATAATAATAATCAATTAGTATTAAGAAATATGAAATAAACAGAAAAAATAATAAGTGTTATATGCTACTTACCCCAATTCTTGTAAAAATTAAATCATATGTTTCTAATGCCTTCATATGGCAACCACTTGGTAGTGATGGATTTAAACATTGGGACAATCTTTTAGATACCATTAATTTCGATTGAATATATGTTGATTTTGGGTATTTATCAAATAACTTCCCAAATTTAGATAAACATTTTACAAAATCTGCCCATTCTGTTGATTTCGAAAACAATAATAATATTGAATTTATATCTTCATTAAATTGTTTATTTTTTGGATCATTTACAATTGATGGATCTAATAATTAAAAATAAATCATTAATATTATATTAAAAATTTTAATCATTGTATATCATCTAAATATCTTACCTTCATCCATTCTATTAATTATATATATTTATTTATTTTATTTTGAGTTCTTTTTGTTATTATTAAAAAAAAAAATATAACAAGATGAAATTGGCTATAAAAATTAAAAAAAAAAAACTATTTTACACACTATTGATGCTTTTAAATAATAATTTTTATTTGTGTGTATGCTACTATATATTATATTTATGTTATTATAATAAAATCTTTTGTTAAACTACTCGAATAAGAAAGTTTTTTATATAGCCCAAAAAATAAATATTATTATTTAAAAACAAAAAATATTTAAAAAATATTAAAAAAAAAATAAAAAAAAATTTAAAAAAATAAAAAAAAAATAAAATTTTTTTTAAAATATAATTTTTATTTTTTAATTAAAAAAGGATATTGAATAAAAATAATTGAACCTTTTTTATTATCACTATTATTATTATTACTATTATTCGTAGGATGATAAAAATAAAATGATAAAATTTTTTAAAATATTATTTTGGAAAAAAAAAAATTAAAAAAAAAAAATTAAGAAAATTTTTTTTTTGTTTGGGTGCACTCTTTGGATAATTTAAAATAAGCCTGGTTTC